GGGGGGGTGACGAACAACTTGTGTACGTTGATACAGCAGGAGTGGGAGCCGTTTATTGTAGGACAGGAGCGGTATTTATACATTCCACACAGCTTATCTAATTAGCATAAACTAGATACAGCAGTCAACTAATCAGGAATCTCCACACTTAATGGCTCGCTTTTGTTACTTCTCAAACCACTCCCTCTGGCATTTTGCCAGGCACCATCCAAACTTGTTTACGAACTCTAACATTCCCCTGGCAAAATGCCAGGTGTTATTTTGACTTGTTTACAGACTCTTAACAGCAACTTTAGAGGAGAACTCTAATGAATAGACAGGGATAGTTTACGGAAGAATGTATAACTTCAAACTCCTTATCTGTATTAAAGAAAATTACGTATAAATAGTAAAAGATAGGAGGTTGAAAGTGCAATTCCTCTATATTATATTATTCTGGTGATTCAGTTCTTAAAGTCTAATTTCATGCAAAGTTCTTGGATTCACATAGTTGAGGTTGTGAGGACCAGAGGGGGAAGGGTAGAGGAGATTGGATGAGAAGAGCGAGAAAAGAAAAGAAAAGAAAGAAAGAAAAAGTCTCAGGACTCTGTTTTCTTTTCTTCCAGTAGATGGAGTTGTCTATTCCTAGCTTGAGTGTCTGTGTTCAGGGTGGTGGAGGTAGCCAGTGTGAGAGGGCTTGAGCTTCTACCTGGAGCCTCCCTACTCTTAGTCTCTGAGTTGGAAACCAGGTGCCTGTACAGTTGCTGTTCTGCGTTGATAGCTACACCCGCAAAAGTTTGTGAGAAAAATTTTGAGTTATCACCGCTGGGGGTGGGGGAGTTGGAACCGGGTACCTGATCAGCCACGCCCATTGATAGATTGCGAGGAAGGTTTTCCAAGATGGATTCCATCTGTTACCCACATAGGGTGTTTGGTGAGGTGGGGGGTGCTGGGGTAACCTTGTGCTGTGTCCAGAGCTCGATCTGGTGACCTGCAAGCAAAGTCTCTGTTCTGCGCCGCCTTCCATTTGCGCCGAGCCGAGTGAGGGCCGGGCCTTCCGTCTGCGCCAAGCCGAGCAAGCCACATATGAGTTTCTTTGGACAGAGTTATGGTCATTTTCTCTGGTTTGGCGAGCTTTTTAGAGAGCTTTGAGAAGTTCTTTTTTAGGCATTAATGAAATAATGCTTATGGCGTGTTTAACACTGTTCATTAAGTGCTAACACAGTGGTTTTTATACATTTTAGTAACCTGTAATGAAAGTTCAGGTTTTACCCAGTGATTACTATGAATGTGACAAACCTGAAGCCTCTCTGCTTGGTACAGTGCACATTAGCAACTGAAAGCTTTTAAGCTCTGTGCTCACCTACAGCTAAGCATATAAGCCTTTTGGAAAAAGTTTTGCTACTTCAGACATGTAGCCACTGTGTTCCAGAGGTTGTGTGCGGAGTTTGCTGTCCCTAACCAGCATTTTCCATTCTTTTGCAGTCAGGTGCGATCATGAGTGTGTTGGCAGCTGTCTGCACTAAGATCCCAGAGGGGAGGCTCGCCATCATCTTCCTCCCAATGTTCACATTCACAGCAGGGAATGTAAGTACCTGGATGAAGTTCTGAGGACATTAGTGTTATTTTTACAATGACTGAAGTCTTGCTCTTAAATTAGGAATGTCAATGCTGGAGGAATCAAAGTGTATCACTTATGTTCTCTCTTGCCATCTTTTAGGCCCTAAAAGCCATTATTGCCATGGATACAGCTGGAATGATCCTGGGATGGAAATTTTTTGATCATGCAGCACATCTTGGGGGAGCTCTCTTTGGCATGTAAGTTGAGTGTAGCTGATGCTAAACTGCTTCCTCAGTTGCTTCCCTGTCCTCCCTGAGGAAGACAGAGTGAGGCAACTGAGCTATGTGATACAGGCAGGAGGATACTGTTGGGAGGGGAGAGATCCTCAGCATGGTTTGCTTTGGTCTAAATCAGTTTCACCAAGAGAGATGGGATTTGAGAATGTCAGCCCTGCCTCTGCCTTGATCATTGTAGAGTGACTATGTGCTTTTATTGGTCCCTTAAACTCAACTCCATTTCCTAACCTGTCGTCATTCCCAGCCCCTCTCATACTGCTCCCAGCCCCCAAGTCTTTGATGTTTCTATTTCCCACTCTTGGGCTTTCTTGCCCTCCTCCCTCTTCTGTGGGCGCCATCTCACCAGTGCTGCACAGACTCTGGGCTGGAAGAGCCTTTTTTTTTTTTTTTCCTGTAGTGATTGTGAGGGGGAGTGTTGTGTGTCTGCATAAAGGAAGCAAGCCAGCATGGACACTTACTGGGCATCATATGTAGGCACTGAGCTAGTCACTTTACATTGTACTTTATTGTTCCCGTTTTATTTATTTATTTATAAACAAGAAGTTTATTTAAACAACAAGACACTTGACTTGAAGGGAAATCTAAACATTAAAATTCTCCAATCGAACAAGGTATGCAAGGATTTTTATGTTGTTCAGGTTTTTTTTGTTGTTGCTGTTAAAACAGTGAAAGAAAAAGAACTTATTGGAATATAAAAGATAAGGGCTGAATGAGCATGCCACTAATGGAGAAAGGGGATATTTTCACAGAACCAGTATTTTTCCCCATCCCATCTCCATTTGTTGTCAATCAAAACATATCATTGGCCATTTAGTTTAAAAAAAAAATGCAGTATGCTTGTGCACATACACCAGTTACTTTATGTACAATAAAGGAATGGGGAAGGGGAAAATGAAAGAAAAAAGAAAACTATAGTGGTCAGAAGGTGGTGGAACCAAATTGCAGTTTTCTAATTGAGAATGTATTCTTGGTCTATAAGAACAGAGTTCTGGAGTAAAGTAGCAGGTTCCCTTTTTAGTAGACACCTCCTGTCTGCTGCTGGAATGCATCAATTGTATCTTCATCCTCCATTTCCAACTGTGCAGGTGTGTCTGTTTCATTAATTGGCTGCCCGTCAAATCGGAATCTGATCTGCTTCATCGACAAACCCTGTCGTTCACAATATGCTTTCATTAGTTTACTAAGTGGTTAATCTTAAACTGCACCACAGAACCATCCTGCCCTGCCACCTTCAAGTTAATATGATCGTTGTTCTCAGTCTTGACTCCTTCCTTGGGCTTTTCGTCGGCCATGTCGAGCACCAGAGTCTCCTCAGCTGCTGCTTCACAAAAGAGGTACCAGGTCCTCATGAGCACACAAGCAGCTCCAGGAGCAGCAGAAGAAGGAGGCGGCAGTGATGGATGAGGAAGAGGGCGTCTATTATTCCCATTTTACTAATGGGAAACTGAAGTACAAGAAGTGGTCTTCCTTAGGACAGAGAGCTCTGAAGTAGCAGAGCAGAATTTAAACCCAGATCTCCTTTGCTTTCCAGCCACATCACACCACATCTAGTACGCCTGGCATATGGTCAGAAAGTGTTTCCATTTGTGTTTCAACAATGGTGTTTTAGCATTTTTTGTTTATTTGCTTTTCTTTTTTGCCTAAAATGTAATAGTTCGGTAGCAACTATAAACTTCCTTTGGACTCCTGGAGCCTATCTGACTCTGGGAGTCCCTTCAGCACAGTTGTCTGATGGTGCCATCCCTGAATGGCCTGTCTTTTCTTGCAAATCAGTTGTCTTTTGCCCTTACTTCATTTTTGCTTTGTTTCATGACAATGGAAACTTCTTAAAATTTTTTTTAGAAAAATCTAAGTGACGCAGTTTTGCCAAGTAGGTGGTGGAACTAAATGCCATTATGCCATTTATAATTTTCAGTGATATTAAAGAATAGCATATGTGAGTTCTAGCTTTAACAGCAGCACAAATATAAATAGTAGAAGCTGACCTGCTATTACAGTATGAGAAACAAAAACATGAAAAGGGATTCTGTTTTATGAACTCTAAATTTACCTGGTGCTTTTTACATGTCTGTAAAGGGTCGTCTTTCCAGCAGGTTTTTATTCTTCCAAAATATAATTAGATGGCCTTTTTCCATTCTGAAAATAATTGGATCAAAGGCATTTTAAAGCCTAGGATCTGGAAGGCAGAGGAATCTCTTTGCTGTTTCTAATTTCAGCTTATTTTCACTTACTAGATCTCAGTCATAACATCTTTAAAATGGATTCAGAAATGTGAAAATCTTTTTTTTTTTTTTTTTTTTTAGTTAAATTGCCCTAATTTTTTGCTGTTCACTTGCACATTTCCTTGGTTTTGTGTCCCTGACCAGCTCTCAGTCTTTACATTGTACTATTGCAATAATGGCTAATAATTTTTTGAATAGTTGTTGTGTGCATAAGCTGTGACTTTAAATCATGTAGAATTCTATGAGCTAAGGGCTAATTTAAGACTCTTAAAGTGGTGGGAGCTATTCCACTTTACATATTAAAAAAACCTTATAGAGGAGGTAACTTGACCAAAGATTCACAGCTCATAATTGCAGAGATGGAGTTTCAGACTACTAGACTGTTATGCTGCTGCAGCAAGAAAGGTTTAGTGATCTGGGGTCTGGGGGTGTAGCTCAGTGGTAGAGCACATGTTTAGAATGTGCATGGCCCTAGGTTTAATCCCCAACACAAAAAAGAAAATAGTTAAGTATTTTTCTAATTTGAGATTATCCAAATGACTAGTTAGTTACATTTGGTTTTTATGAATATAATCAGAACAGCGTACCTGTAAGATTAAAGTATTTGACTCTGCTTGAAATAAGCAGGCTCAAAAGATTTAATGGAGAATCCCTAAAAGGTTTTTGTTTCTTGCAAGAATCTTTAAAATTGCATTTTAGGGTGGTCCATTTTCTCTTGTTCTGAATTCACCGGAAATTTTTATATTACAAGAGAATTTTGTTACATGCCTATTAATTTGCATACCCTTTTAAATGCTTTTTTCATTCTTAAATATACAGATTATTTTTCAAAAATTTAATGTTGGGGACTGAGGTTGTGGCTCAGTGGCAGAGCACTTGCCTTGTACATGGAGGCGCTTGGGTTCGATCCTCAGTACCACATAAAAATGAATAAACAAAGTAGGGATGTGTGTCCATCTACAACTAAAAAAAAATTAATGTTAACAAAATAATGTAATTCTATAATCAGGTTTTAACTACATTCAGGGAATATTTTAAGATTCGGATACAAATCAAGACTTTTATAAGAAGAAAATGTTCAGAGCTGGTTGTGGGCTACTTGGTAGGGTAAGCAGGAGACTTCCAAGTTTGAGGCCAGCAAACTAAGACCCTATCTCAAAAAAAATAAATAAAAATGCTGGACACACTGATGCATGCCTCTTATCCCAGTAGCTAGGGAGACTGAGACAGGAGAATTGTGAGTTCAAAGCCAGCCTCAGCAACAGTGAGGTGCCAAGCAACTCAGTGAGACCCTGTTTCTAAATAAAGTAAAAAATAGGGCTGGGGATGTGATTCAGTGGTTGAGTGCCCCTGAGTTCAATTCCTGGTACTCCAAAAAATAATAATTGCCGGGTTTCTGTTCTCACGACTAAAAGGCTCAGGGGTCACTCCAGGAAAACTGGGCTAACTGGGCTGCACAAAATAACCACACAAGAGATACAAATACCTTTTTCTTTGGGGTCGCTGTGATGGCTCCTCTGACCTTAAGGGTCTGCAGGAAGAGAGAGAGTGAGAGCATGTGCTGACCCTTTTTATTGAGAAGCAGCTGTTCAAATGAGGCAAGGGGTCAGGTTTCAGGAGGCCGAGTCTATCTTCATGATGTCCATTGTCAGCAGGTTGACTGACATCTGGGTAGGCCACATCCAAGGGCACAGTAAGAGAAGGGGACACACACAAGACACTTCCATGGAAGATTCTATACTAAACAGGGCAAGGGGTTATATTACAAAGGAACAGGTGAGCATAGCTCCACCCTGGGGCTGTAGGAAGCCACGCCCATGCATGAGACACCATCCCTTGAACCCAAGAAGGGTGGGGAAAGCCCTGCCATATTTCTGTTACTGAGCACCTCAGCACCCAGCCGGGGAGTCTGACTCAGTCATCTGCAAGGTTGGTCTCCCACAGATAATAGGGCTGGGGATTAGCTCAATGGTAGAGTGCCCCTGGGTTCAGTCCCCACTACTGAAAAACAAAGTTCAGGGCATTTAAAAAATGTTAAAAACATTAAATTGCTGTTCTGATAAGCTAAACAGTATCTGGGAGATGTGAAGCTCAACAAAACCTGATCTCTGCCTCAGGGAACTTTGCTCTGTTTGGGGAGCAAAAGGAGTTCAAGAGTTTAAGATGAAAGCTTTCCTTAATTCCCACCCCCATGTGCTCCAGGAAGTCTCCCTCTACTCCCAAGGGTGACAGGTGCCATCATGAGGCAATTCCACCATTTCTTAGATAGGAGCCTGGACTTAGAGTCAGTCTGACTTGGGGTCAGACCTCAGTTGACTGTGTAGAAGCTATTGGCACTTTGGACAAATTATTTTCTCTTGGACTTGGTTTGAGTCCATAATGAGAAATGGTATTTAACTTGCAGGGCAAAGGTAAATCAGAAGTAGTGGGTGTGGGGCTGGGGCTCAAGCGGTAGCGCGTTCGCCTGGCATGTGTGCGGCCTGGGTTCGATCCTCAGCTCCACATACAAAGATGTTGTGTCCGCCAAAAAACTAAAAAATAAATATTAAAATTCTCTTTCTCTCTTAAAAAAAAAAGTAGTGGGTGTGAAGTACTCGACACATTCCAGAGCATTCACCCCACACTACTATGACCTTTTTTATGCTCTGTATATTAAAGCTAAACCATTTATCTACAGCAAATTAGCCATTTTCATAAGCTACATAGTGAAGCACAGTAGCATTTGATTTTTAAAAATGCTGGCTTGATTAAATCTGTATGTCATATTATTGGAATGTCAAACCTGGTTTTTCTCTTTTCCAGATGGTATATTACTTATGGTCATGAACTCATTTGGAAGAACAGGGAGCCTCTAGTGAAAATGTGGCATGAAATGAGGACTGATGGCCCCAAAAAAGGAGGTGGCTCTAAATAAAACTGGGGTTGGACATTACTGGTGCATCTGATCCGTGCTGCCTGGAAGCTCCAAGAGCGCATTGGCCCTGGAGGGACCACAGCTGTGCTCCTGCCTGGAAGACACCCAGCAGCTAGCCTCCCCAGCATTTTAAACTCTGTCCCCCAGTACTTGTCTCCTTAGAAAGTGAATTATGACAAGTTGTGAAATAAAGATTTATATCTCTAGTTTGTAAACAGGAGGGGTGGTCTCTTTGAGAGCATCAGTGCTGCTCTGGCATCTTTGTTTTGACATTGTTTGGCCAGTGAACCTGGTCAGGGGGCCCCTTGAAAGGGATGATAGAAACTTGATGGCCTTGGTTTTGGCCTTGACCTTCTGACATCTCTGCTTAGCACAGACTGACCTATCCCTTTCCTTGGTTGACAGAAGTTGAGAGCATCTTCTCTCTGCCATAGTCTGAAATAACAGCTGCAGATACTTTCTAAATGTTCCCAAGAAAGGTGGAGTTTCCTGGCAGTGAGAGGCACATACATAAAGCTATTTTTAGGTTTTGCTTTCTAGGTTAAAATTGTAGCTAAATTAAGAGTAAAAGGAAGTGACTTGGATAAATTCAGACTTGAATCTGAGCCCAACTGCATCTTATGTTTGAAAAGGTACATTCTAATGGAAGTGTCTTCCTGAAATAGTTTCTGTCGTCATTTTGGCCTCACTGCAGTGGGGTTCACATTGCCTCATGGTGGAGAATCACATCGAGGAAATTCAATTTGAGGATTTTTCTTGAAAGCATTTACAGGAGAGGTTTTAGTTTTTTGGTAGCCTTAAAATGTTATACCAAATCTTGCTTTTGCTGGGGAGGAGGAGAAGCCCTGATGTTAGCCTTGCTTGGCTAATTTGCTCCAGTTTGTGCACAGCTGGGCTTTCTAAGCAGTGAGCTCAGAGAGCAGTGGGGGTCACACCCACCTCACCAGGTGGCTGAGAACTGCATGACAGCACATGCCTGGCACATAAATACTGTCCAGTACTTGGTAATTCTTAACTCTTCCACCAGCGTGGTTGGCTTCACTGTGAAGTACCCAGTTATTTTCAGTGGGCAGAGGATTATAAACTAGCATCCCGTCTAGAATTGTCTTAACCCAGCCCTCATTTTGCCAGTAAGGAAATGACTGGTGGAGGGTAGGGTGACTGACTGCTCTGCCATTTCTGAATCTGCTAATAACCCTATGACAAATGAGGCAAGATATTTTCCATAGTTGGGATGAGAGGCTGAGCTCACACAAAATTTTCATCGTCTGTTTGAAGGCAGATCAGGAAAAGAGGCAGTGAAGACCTCTCTCCTGTCCTTGCTGTGTCAGAGAAGTAGTGTTGAGAAGTCTCTGGAGCACTTACCTGTCTATAAAGTCCTTCAGCTGAGGAGCCTTTGAACAATGGAGGACCTTGTTCCCTGTGAATGAGTGGCCATAGGAGGCCCAGCCCCCTGCAGCCTGCCCAAGCTCTCCTCTTGGCCACTAGGGGGTTTAGCTTCCCCTCATCAAGGCTTTGCTGACCCTTGACCACACCTCCTTGGCCATACTCTCCCTGGGCCATGGGCCTGCCTCTAAAGTGTGGGGTTCCTCCAAGTGCACCCTGGCCATCCTGCCTCCCTCTGCTCACACTGCTACGGGAGTTTCTGCGGCTTCAGTTGTTTGTGTCAGGTCTGCTGAGCTCCTGGCCCTCTGGATAACTCTGATGTAGTGAATGTAAACTCAGTACCCACGGCTCAGCTCCTGTTGTCTATTGGGCCACAGCCTGGCCTGCTCAGCTGGCCAATGTAATGTCATGATGCTGTGACTTCCAACTAAGGCAGTGTTTGAGGCAATGAGACTCTGGCCAGTGCAGCAATGCAGTCATCTCAGAGGTGCAGACTGGACACCTTCCGAGTACAGTCTGGAGAAGGAGCTCCAGCTAATCAATGCTGTTTTGACAGTGTTTGGTCTGCAATGAATACTGAAGGCATGTATCAAATACTCAGCCTTTGAGTGTGTCCAAGGAGTTATTCTGATACACTGTCCTACCTTAAATTGACCTTTACCCTGCAGAATTATCCCAATTTAGCTGTATGTTCAAACTATTTGCATGCACAGTAGGGAAAGGAACTATATAGCATAACTGGCCAAAGTTTTGTATCCCTGTCGCGAATGAGCATAGTAAAAGCAAAGAAGCTGGGGACTTTTGACTGATTCACGTGCTTTCTGGGAAGCACGTCCCCAAGTGTTCCCCACCATGACCTCACTGCTGCCCCTCCCGCTGCCCATTTAGACCCTGTAGTGCAGCCTTGTACAAGTACTGGGAGTGCCTTAGCTAGCTACCCGGGTCCACAAGACCGAATATAGACCCTCCTGGCCAATTTAACTGCCCAGCTGCGTGCGGGCTGAGTGACCCGCGAGGTAGCCATCTCGGCCCTCGACCTCGGCTCATCGGATTTATAAAACATTTGGGGAACTTGGGATTCAATTTTGAAATATTAAGTTGGACACAAGTAAATGACCGCAAGCGGTTTCAGGTGCCCCCTGGCGACGGTACAGTCTTTCTCTGGTCGCCGCTCTCTCCTAGCCGGCGCCCCAATCCAACCGTGCGCACTCTGGTGGAGGCCACGCTGGGCTGTCGCCGAGCCCTCTCACTCCCGGGACACCCACCCCCAGGCCGGGGGGCGGCGCTGCGGTAGCTTGGGGAGGGCTGCGGGGGCGGGGACGCCGGGCGGGGGCGGTGCGGCTGGGAGCGCCAGGAGCTGAGCGCCTGGACCAGGAACCAGGACCGGGGCCGGGGTTGGGCGGGCATGGCGTGGCCCTGCATCAGCCGCCTATGCTGTTTGGCGCGGCGCTGGAACCAGCTGGACCGCTCCGACGTGGCGGTGCCGCTGACCCTGCACGGCTACTCGGACCTGGAGAGCGAGGACCCGGGCCTGGGAGGCGCAGCCTCGCGCAGGGTCCTGACCCCCGCCGGCGGCCGGGACTCTGGCCGGGACGTGCCACTCACTCAGTACCAGCGCGACTTTGGTGTGTGGACCGCGCCTGCGGGAACTCGAGATGCGGCGCAGGGACGCGGTCCGGGGGCGGGCGGCCGCAGGAGCAAGTCCTCGGCGCCCGGCGCCAGGGGGGTCTACGTGCTGCCCATTGGCGATCCGGACACCGGTGCAGCAGCGACCACGTCGTACAGGTATCGGGCTGGGGTAGGGACACCCTCCAAATTCACACCCCGTGGTGGAAGGAAACACCCGGAGCCAGGAGGATGGGGGTGGGTGGGAGAGAGGAGGCTCCTGGATCCCACAAGACCTCGACAGCAGCTGGTGGCTAGAGGTCACCGCCTCGGTTCCCTGGCACTGCAGACGCCACCTTTGCTGCTCCCTTCCCTGCCCAGACCCAGAATGAATGATCACTTCCATCGACCAGAATCTCACCCCCTCACAGCTGGCTCCCCGCCCCCAGCAGCCAGGTCAGAAAGGCCGGCTGCCGAGGTGAAATCTGCTTCCTTTAACTTCAACCCGGTGGGCCTCCCCACAGCGGGGGTGCGGCACAGGCCAAGTGGTCCGGTTCCCTCTGCGGGAGCATTGGCCGGTCCGAGAGTCCCTTAACATCCCAACTGCCCTTTCGCTGAGGACAAGTCTGCAGGTCCTTACCGTCTCCCTGCCCTGGACAACTTAGGACTTCATTCTTACTACAAAAATAATTCACACTCGCTCACAGTAGAAAAAATTGGAAATGACAGAAATTACCAAAGGGGAAAAAAAATCCATTAGCCCCTTCCCAAACCGAGGTTCTAATTCTTAATGTGCATTTCAGTGCATAGAAGCTGACACATTCCTTCATGGTTCCATTCTTACTGTACACATTTTCCCACCTACTTTGGATGTCTGGTCATGTTACTAGATGTTCTTCTACAACATGCATTTTAATAAATGTGCAGTGCATTATCCTATGGGTTCTATATCTATATATCCCAATATTATCTGCCTACTCCCTTATTAAATATTTAGGGTATCTCTGGTTATGGGGTTACTGGAAACACTACTATTCTGATGGTGCAGCTATTTCAATACTTTAAGAATTTTCCCTTCAGGTTTCCTGATGATGAGGTGGGAGTATAAAATACATGGAAACGTTTTGCCAGTAGTTAACAGCCCCTTAGTCCTAATATGGGGGATTGGCTAATTATGGCATTGCCATGGGACAGGATACCCAGAAGCCTGCGTGCAATGATAACCCAAGACCTTAAACGTGTCTAACAACAGGTTCCTTCATAGGTGTGCACTGTTCAAGGGATCTGATGGGGGCTGTGGTTGCAGGGTGGGTTTTGTGCTCACTGACACATGCTCAAGCTGAACTGCTGAAACTCAGGTACCCCTGTTGATGGCAAGTCAGACATCATGGCCATAGCTGGGTCTTGCACAGGTCTGACTACTGGCCAATGGGGAGGTGAGCTAGCTGGCAGGGCCAGAATGGTGAGAGGCCCTAGGGTGCAGCACCTTGCAGTGGTTGAGGCTCTAGAAACAAGAACAAGGAGTGGGGCCTGCTGGGGAGAGGGTTCCAGTGCAGGGGAGGAGTTCCTTTCCAATAAGCAGAACTGTCTGACAGTAAGCTGTTCCTTACTGGAGATGTTCGAGCAAAGTCTGGGCTGTTTGAAGCAGCTCCTCCCCCTAAACCACAGTTCTGTACTGCCTGTGGATTAGCTCCCCAAGCCCTTAGTTATCACTGTCCCCATTCCACAGATGAAGGACTGGTGCATAGTCACACAGCTCTGAAGGGCAGAAAAGAGAATAAACCAGTCTATCTTGCCTCAGACCAAATTTGTGACCCCCAGAGGTTATTATTACCTGTCTAGGCCACCGCCTCTGAATCAGTGTCCCAAAGCCAGCAGTGAAAAGAACTGACAATGGGATCAGGGACTCAGTGGCGCTCCCACTTTCTGCTGTATAAACTAGGCCTCTTGGACCCTCATATGGAGAGTGGGAACAGTAGGAGCAGACCCAGACCCCTGCTCCCCAATGAATTTGGCTCCCCCAGCACCACACCAGCTGGTCTCTGAAATGGTCCACCTTCCAGCTCTAGAACCTGGCTCCAGCAACTGCATCCTGCCTTCCATCTTGCAAGATGCACCTTATCTAAAAGCAAACTGCTAAAGAAATTTAGAAAACAAAGAAAATTAACAAATCCAGTGATTCCACAGGTATCACAGCAGATGTGTGGTCACTCCTAACCCAGAAGTGTTGAGCTGGTATCCACCTCTTGACTTGCCTGGCTGCTGATTTCCATGTGAGGACGGACCTGCTTTGTTTGCCTGGTCACGTGGGCAAACAAGGAGGTCTGATCCTCAGCCATTCTGGGACTCTTTACCCAACCAGCTCCTTTCAGAGCCTCTTCCTCAAAAATTCTCTCTGGGTTGTTCAGTGCCTTTGATCCTGCAAGAGGTGGCTGATGCAGGAACACGCCAGAAACACTGTCAGGCCTGGTACACAGTAGGCACAGCTAGGCTTGTAGTTTTCACTAATCTTCTTGGTCAGAGCCATCCATTTGTCTTCCTCTTCTCTTGGGCAGTCTCCCTAATTCCCTCTGATGTTTCTCTATCCTCTCTGTCACCCTCTCTGCCTGGGCTTCTCCTCTGAGCCCTTCCTTCTCTGAGACTCCTGTAGCCACCCCAGGGCAATGGACTCAGGTTGCCAGACCCAAGGCTCAGCATAAGAGGCAGTTGGGAACAGAAGGACATGCCCAGGGGAGGACCTGCTTCCCTAGGAGAAACAGGGCAGCAGATGGTTTGGACAGCTGGGCGTTAGAACCTGGCAGCTTCAGAAGCAAAGATTACTGACAGGCCCTGGCTCAGCTTACCTCCTGACACACCAAGGCTCCCTGAGTGCAGACCACCGACAGACACTGCTCTCCCTGCCCAGCCTGCCTGCCCTGGGAGCCCCAGCTGTGCCACTGCCCAGGAGAAAAGGCGCCTTTGTTGACTCAGGGCCTGAAGCCCAGCCAGGACTACGGGTGGAGCAAGAGCGGCCCCAGGCACATGAGGGGGTTGGTGCTGGCCAGCTGGACTCTTCTTACAGAATGTCCTTGGACCAGGTGCTCCCAACAGACACAAGGGACCTCGGCCTTCCTGAGCTCACCATCTAGCAGGGACACGGACAGAATTAAAAGGTCTCCTTTGCTCAGAGGGATAGGATGAAGTCTCACTCCCAGGACACGAAGCTGGGCTGTGCCAGCACTGTCATTTCCCTCCAAGGAGCTGACTTTGCCCACACAGACCACCCCTGCCCTCCCTGCAGCCTCACACTGGCTCACAGATTGGCTCCTCAATGCTCAGAGCCGTGCAAATGCCAGACCATCTAGTTTAAGGTGGTCATTCAGAATCATTCTTTGCATAAGCTGAAAAGACAGCTTATGTACACGGGATACTGAGTGTTACTTTTCTTTCTCAATCATAACCAGATATGGAGGACCTTCATTGTGTTGAGCATTGTCCAGGTTGGTACTTCCTGTGGACATAAGAGGTCACCACTGACCTGAGCAGGAGGTGACTGGCCTTCACTGGCTCTCAGCCTGTGGGACCCCTCTAAGTAGCCTGCCTGTTGGAGGGGCAGCTGCAGGAGGATTTCAGGGGCCCTGGAGGCTAAACACAGAGAGCGCCGAAGGCCCAGCGCACACCAGCTGCTGATGGAGCTCTACCCCGAGCCTGTCGCTCACCTGCATAAGTTTCTGCTGCTACTTTTAGGGAACAGGGTGAGCCCAAGTTTCCCAGTGGAGCACCCAGAGGTGAAGGGCAGAATGGGTGCCTGTCTTGGGTACCTACTTGCTCTGCCAGTTCTGCCCACCTAAGGGGGATAAAGGACCACCTGGGGCTAAAGCAGGATCCCAAAGTGGACAGGCCCTGACATTCCAAGCAGCACAGGGGAGTGGCCCAGTGGCTGAGCCTGTGTAAGGCTGTGACTCTATGCTCTGTTCCAGACAGGAATTTCAGGCTTGGACTGGAGTGAAACCCTCAAGACCCCCAAAAGCAAAACCAGCCAGAGTTATCACAACCCACACCTCCGGATGGGACGGCGGCACTGGGGCCAGCTTCCAGGTCAGGTGCTACGGGGGCCCTGGCCACAGAAGCCTTCCTTCCAGCGTGGGGATTAGGAGAGATTTTAGTGGATTTAAATGTTATGATCAGGGAGAGCAGTGCCCAGGAAGTTGTTACTGACAGAAAACTAAGGTAACTGTCCTTAGCCAGATGGGTACCCTTCCAGTGCTGGCTTCTCTGGTGAGCAGGGGGTCTCTCTGCCTCCTAAATCCCAACCTTAACTTCAACTACTAAGTACCAGTGACCTTCCTTCCAAATATGTAGCATTGGCCTGGGGGGCTGCTCAGTGTGGAGCACCTGCCTAGCCTGAGTAAGATGTTGGGTTCCATCTCCAGCAACCCAATATGTGGGCCTCCATATAAAATGCAAGAGAAAATGGAAGGGACGCGAGGATTGTTTCCTGATCCCACCCAAAAGAGGCTTCAGGGAGCAGAAAGGAAGGTTCACAGGCTGTGTCTAACCTGCTACTGCAGCGACACTGCTCACGGTTGGCAGCAGTCCCCTTTTGACCTTCAGGTAGTAGTTCCAACTCCTGGACAATGCGAGGAATTCTTTTCCTGGAGCCAGGGGTGGGAGGGAGTTGAGAAAAAGGCCCACTGATGTGGCCACATTTCATTTTTCAGGTCCCTGAAGTGAGGAAGAAGTTCACTCCTAACCCCTCAGCCATCTTTCAGGCGTCAGCTCCCCGAATTCTCAACGTGTGACTGCGTCAGCATGGAACGATGGCTGCTGGAATATTGCTGAGAAAGGAGCCTGGCTCTGTCCTCTGCTTTCAGGAGGAGTGTGACTGCCCGGGCTGCGGGCCTGGCGTGGAGCACAGGTGCAGATGGACCCGGCATCACCAACTCCTCAGCCTCCCACAAAGTGTGTGGGAGGCTTCACATCTGTTTTTAATTGCCATTTGGCCACTCTTCAGTTTTTAAATTTGAAGAACCTGAGGACCAATTCAATTGTGAACCCAGCTGTCCATGGGGCTGAGGAATATGGACGCAGCAGCTCCTTGGCCGAGCCAGTGATGTCCACTTTGGGTGGTTTTCCCAGGATGCATGAGAATTTTATTAATTTTATAACCTATAGTAATCCCAGGTGATATCCTTGGGTCTTTCTGCGGTGGCCCATGTTTCAGAACTCAGGTTCCCACCTGCATGTGATTCATGAGATGCTGAATAGCCAAAAGAGGTTTCCAGAAGAAAATAGTACCAATCACAGGGTTTTGATGTCAAAAACATAATTTCTTTATAGCCAAGGTGGCCTTCATGCTTCAACAAAACATCTTGGGGTGAGTGAAATATTTAAAGACTAACAATGACCATGCGGTAGTTTTCTACAGGCATAGCTCCCTATTGTGTTTCAATTTCCCCTAACAGGGATGACTAAACCGAACAGCTGCACACACTGAGCAGGAATTGGTGGCATTTGCCTCACATCATTAAGAACCTTAGAACATCATCTCTACGGGGGTCCCTGCCCTCAGGCCTACTCTGCACACTTAGTGACAGGAGGCTCATTATTGCTGCAGGGACAGCTGCTCCCATCTTTGAAAGGCTCTCCTGTCTTCATAAATTCTAGCCAGTGTGGCTGCGTGGAACAAGCAGGGTCTCTTCTTTGCACAGCAGCCTTTCAAACACTTGAAGGGGTCTTGTATCCCTTCTTGAAAACTAGAGGCACAAGCTTGGGGCAGTTTTGGTAAGGAAATTTGAGCATTTCCTGTGGCTCTTCTTCCTCTTCAGCAGTGGCTCTGGTCTGCTGAACGGTAAGGCCCCAGGCGGTGGCACTGGTTTCAGATCACAGCAGGCTCAGAGGGGCCATTTCCAGTTCAGGCTGCCTGCCAGTGTCCCCTCAGAGGTGCTAGCTCTGGCAGGCAGGGCCCTCCCTCACTCCAGCTAAGGCAATGCTCCGATGACAGTCATTTTAAAGGGAGAACAAACCATATGCTTACACAAAGGGTTCTACTGCTTTAGACTTCACTGGTTTGCATGTTCTATGTTTCTGGGCGGAGGAGACTGCCTGCTGGGCATTCTGTGGGGGCCGAGCAGCTTAACTGTACAATCTGACTTTACTAAAATGCAAAAATGCACGCTTTCAATTTCTTATTTTTTTAAATTATAAACATGAGTCTCTCTTCACATATATTGTCCCATCTCTAAGTAATGACTTTAATGTGGCTCCTTCTAGTGTCCCTTGGAGGCTTATAAATGCTGAGCTCTTCTTACTGTGGGCTGCAGGTGATACTGGTGTTGGTGGCACACAAAACCCACTAGCCTCCCTGCTATGCTTCAATCCTTCCCACTGCCATTCTGGAATCCAGGGACATGGACCCATGATGCTAGTCTCAGGCTCAAACCCTGTTTCTTCATGACCAGCTGGGACTGGAGGGTGCTTCCATTTCTTCATGTGGACAGTTAGCTGCCACAACTTCCCCCGCGCTGGCTGGCCAAGAGCCCTCATGTTTGTGCACAGGGTGTGGGGGGTGGGGTGAGCTCCATATGGTAACACCAAGCACAGCTGCTGGAATAATTCTTTCCAACCTAAGCCCCCCTTCCCTGGGCACCTCTATTCCTGCCTGTAGCCATTAACACCCTGTGCCCCATGCTGCACCCTGCCTGAGGTCACACTGTGCACCTGGCAGTGCTCTTTCCATCCCAAAGCCAGCCTGGGAGGTCCATGATTCTTTGACTGTAAGGGACACATCAGCTCTGTTGCACCTTGGCTGGGAAAAAGCAGGCCTTCCTGCACCAGAGGAGCTTGAACTCTGCCAGGCCAACTGTATGCCAAGAACCTTCCTGCGATGCGCCGCCCCACGCAATGCCACACACATCCCATCTTCACAGCCTTCCCCAGGAGACTTCCCAGGTGCCTGAAGGAAGTCCCTCCCACTCACTCTAGGTCTGAGTAAATCCTCACATACCAAGTGCATGACCCAAGAATTGGCTGAGACAAGTCTCAGCTCTGTGCTTCCAACCCGTATCTATCTTATGCACACAGACAGTGCCCGGGGACAGGGAGAATGCATTATACTAGTAACAGGTTATTATCTCTAGGAGGGGAGTCATGGGGAACATTTTACACTTTATTATACTTGCTAAAATATAATTAAGCATTTTTGTATTCTGTACAGAAAGTTTTTAAAAATAAATGCAATTCAGTCTGTTCAGCTAATTTTAGCAACTGAAAGAGTGTTCAGCATTAATTATTCCATAACCAAGAGACCACTGTGGGAGGAGTCTCCGTCAGCTATAGAGTGCACTACAAGGTCCTTCCACATGTCCCGGAGTCTTGAAACTGTGAGATCAGTGCCCCACCTCTCTGTACTTCACGGAACAGAACTCCAGGACCTTAGGTGAAACCCTAACACTGCTTTTGAGAAATGCTAGACCCTACCAGGGGATGTCCTGCAGCCTACCCCAGGCAGATGAGCTGGGGTTGTAGCTCAGTGGTAGAGTACTTGCCTACTATGTGTGAGGCCCTGGGTTTAATTCCTAGTACCAAAACAAACAAAATAAAAGCAATCAGGCAGATGGAGGAACTTCCCCTAAAGCTGACTGTTGGCTTCACTCACAATGGGTTCCTTCAGTCAGTAGCAGGGAGTCCCCAGTTAAGCACTGCCTATGACATGATCTGTGCTCTGCAGCTCCCGTCCAAACCCTGAGACAACTAACATTTGGGCCTGACCGTGCCCCATCCTTACTCCACCAGTCTACTCAACTTTTTTTTTGGTTCTGGGAATTGAACTCAGGGGCACTCTACCACTGAATCACATCCCCGGCCATATTTTGTATTTTATTTAGAGACAGGGTCTCACTGAGTTGCTTCACCATTGCTGAGGCTGGCTTTGAACTCTTGATCCTCCTGCCTCAGCCTATCAAGTTATTGGAATTAGGCGTGAGCCACCATGTATGGCCTAGTCAACTTTCTTGACTTTGACCCTACACAAAGCCCACCCCCAGCAAGTGACCTCTCTGCACTGTGTCACAATGCCTCCTGCAGAAATTACCACCTTCAGAGACCTAAGCTCTCAGTTTTTTAGCTCAAGCATTTCTGTTTTAGCTCATGATGCAGACGGTAGGGCTGCAAAAGGAGTAACTTCTTTCAGAACCCAGCACACACCAATTTTACTTTGCCAGATAAACTGGTATGTTCCTGCACTGGACAACAGGAGCTGCCTGCCTCTCTACCTTGGCTTTCAGGAAACTCTGGAGCTCATCCATATAGTCCTCCTCCTCTGAGCCATCAGAAACAATTATGTCCATGGTCAAACATGTACCTTCCAATTTTTTTTTTAGACTATTATGTAAGTGTAATCCTTTATCTTGCATGGTTGCAAATTCTTCTTGGAAAGAAGTAGAAGAATACATTTTAAATACACAAATAAAAGGCTATACCTCCCCTCATTTCAGTTCTTTCTGACCTTTCCCAAGAAACAGCCTTGGTATAATACTTCCAACTCAGAAAAACCATCATAAATACTAAAAGATTTATTGTAGACATTTTTGTTATACAATGGTGTTACACATTATGATACAAATACATTTAACACACGAGACTATTAAATCATTTAATACTTCTTTTGCAAAAAGAAATTTCCTTAGGCTTTCATATCTGTAATAAATGGATCTCTTCCCACCGGGAAGAGAACACACCCACAGGTCTCACTAGCAATCTACTTGCTGAATGCATCTGGGCCTAATGTACTCAACTACATTTTTAAAGGCATGCCCTTTGCCCTGCTGAGTGGATTTCCTTTTGCATTTGCAACTCTCAGATGCTGAATTTAGAAAGGCAGATTTTATTCAGCCACCACCCTGCTTTCTTTTCCTGACACAAATATCTGTGAGACCCATGAAAATATGAATTACATTGCTTGGATAAGTTTCTTTGACTCAGAGGTTTCAGATTTTCTTTGAATAGAGTAAGAGCAGGTTTCTAACTGAGAATTAAGTTCTTTCCTTTGCCCTCCACACAGACCGCGTTAGTAACCCTGGAGTGGATCCCTTCAGTGGGCTGGATACCTGGCAGTGGCACTGCCACGCTTCCTTCTCCTGTCTGCTCTTCCTTCCCACTGAGGAGGATGGATACAAGTTGTATCCTTCCCTGATGGATACAAGTCACTCTCTCTGCTTCTGAGCACTGGCATCCCTGGAACTGGGCCTGAGCAGTTATTTTTCCAACTTTAAGGCACTCACAGGTATTTCTTTTGAACCCTTCTCTTCTTGGGGAAAATTCCTTGACTGAGAAGAACAGGACAATAGGTTCATCATTAGGACAACAATCCCAGCAGAACCTGTCCAGGGGCTGCTCCCTGGCCACTTGACATCTGAGCTCCTGTGTAGACCCCAGATCTGCCTGGCAAACATATGACAAATTGGTACACTCATGCCAGGGACCCAGGGTTGTGGATGTTGTCTACTGTAACACACTAAGAGATTCCCAGTCAAACCTTCTCTGGAACCCCGCTGGGACCCATCCATTCCTTGACATTGTGCTGCAGTGATGTTCCTGTGCTCCACAGTAAAGGATCCTGCCCAGTCTACAGTCCAGGCCTCTGTGGCTTCTGTAAGGCGCCACTTCTTCCTATAGCTGACTCATCTGGTCTATGAGTGCAGGCCCTCCTCACACCATGGCCAGGCAGGAACAGAAAACCACTCACTGAGAGTGAAACACAATCCCTTCTCAGGATGACCCCAGCTCATAGAGGGGGTAACCTCGGGCCTGCCAGACTTGTTTCCCTTCTCCTGGGGATCAGGCCCAAGGTGCCCCCAGGAACACAAAAGGAAGGGAGGGCCTGGTGCTCTCAGAGGCCTCCTGGAGCTGGTAGAGAGGGTGAGGAAACCCAAGGTGACAAAACACCCATCCAGCTCGGCTTCTCTCCAGATTCAGGGAACAGACTTCTGTCCTAAAAGGGCTCCACCTGGAACCCAATGCTCTGGTGTCACGTTCGGGCAGAGGCAATGGTTTGGTAGCCATGATATTTCAGGCACACAGAAAACAACCTCCTTTCCTGAACAGGAGAGTCGCCACAGTCGCGCACTTCAGCTCCATTTTCAAGTCCTGCTCTGCTAGCGGCAGCGTCACTGTGCTCACTGATCCTCGTTTGAGACGCCCATGTGCTTGTTGGTGAGGAAGTCCAGGAAAGGAATGCTGCAAATGGCCTGGTGAATGTTGCTCACTGTAATTTCTTTGGGAATCCTGGTCAAAAACATCCAAAGGGTGTTATTACATGTAATTCTCCCAAGCATATCTAATGATAATCTACTTGATTAACTTACCCAGGACCAACCCCTGCACAGGCCCTATGGAAGGGGATAATGAGTGACAAGCTATAGCTCAAGGGTTAGGGAGAGCCAGGTAACATTCTCTCTCTGACCCCCTTTCCACCCTGATGAACAATCTGGCCTGTCTCCAACCACAGTCCTACTCAGGCCTCAAATCACACCTCCCAATCACAGGAAGTAAATGGGCTTCAAGTTGGCTGAATGATTAGGAATAAACCCTATTAAGGACTGAGAAAAGAGAGAGGAAGTAAAATGAAGAGCAGAAGAGGATGACATGGTTGTCATTCAATCTTGGCAGACGAAAGGCTGAGTCAATGCCTTGTAGCGCTCTGGAGCCACATTCCCCATCTCTCAGGAAGACGGGAGAAGGAGTCATGCCAAACCAAGTGTGAGGTTAAATGTTCTTGCTCAGAACACTCAAGTCTCTGCATCTCCAGGGTCAGACCCTGGAGGTGAACTGGGCCTCAGAAGGCACATGTTTCGCTCCCAGGTTTCAATCAAACAACGAGCATGAATGAAACTCTGTCTCCCTTTTTTTGCTCCCCTTAAAACGTCTATGCTCTCTGATGTATGATAATCCTAGGTCTTATATAATATTCTTCTGATTTATGACTCTTCATGTCCTCAGGCCCTTTGTTACAACACTATGAATTCACAACAGCCTTTGGTATAACATGATAAATAATATTCACTTCCTTAGAAAGGAAAGCAGGATGTGGCTCATCTATCATTCCCTCATAATCTTGGAAAAAAGCTATATTCAGTGACCCAAAGAAAAATAGTCAGCAGAGCAGAGAGATGAGACTGGGGGCTACACAGCCAGCAAGATTTGTGTCTGGATTTACGTTTATCATCTATTTGCTGTGAAGGCCAGGGAAGATTGCCTTCCAAAGCCTAGTTTTCCTAAAAGGGGAAGAATAGGCCTGCAGTAAAAAATAAATTAGGCAATAACCACCACCACAACAACATATAATGCTTGGCCCTAAGGTATGACACATATTGTCTTTAATTGCAAAGAGCTGTTAGTGTTCTACCCTGCAGAACAGAAAAGTGTCCTGGGTGGCTGTGGAGTAATGGCCAGGAGGGTACAGACTCTCTGGCAAGCTGAGCACAACCAAGAGGTTCTCTCAAAATGACAAGAGTAGACCCTTTAGTCTGTCTGGCTCTAAGAAAGTTCCAAGCACTGACAACCCTATCTCCTGCTGGGCTGACTTAAGTATTATTATGGTTTGGATATGAGGTGTCCCCCAAAAGCTCCTGTGTTCATGCAAGGATGTTCAGAGGTGAAATGATTAGACATGTAAGAACTGTGATCTCATCAGTCCATTCTAGTTTGAAGGAACTGACTGGGCGGTAACTGTAGATGTGTGGGGCATGGCTGGAGGTGGGTCACTGGGGGCATGCCACTGGAAGGGTGCATCTTTCCTGTGTCCTCTTCCTCCACACCTTCACTCCTTCCCTCTCTCGGTCTCCCTCTCTGCTTCCTGACTCTAACATGAACCGAGCAGTTTTCCTCTGCTGGTCCTTCTGCCATGATGGGTTGCCTCACCTTGGGCCTAGAGCAAAGGGTTGACCATATGAACTGAGATCTGAAACAGAGCCCTGAATAAACTTTCCCTCCTCTAACTTGTTCTTGCCAGGTATATTAATCACAGTGAAAAAAGTTAACTAAAGCAACATCTTCGTGGGCAAAGAAATGGTTAGGAAATGTTTACATACTTCACATCACCAACCAGAGATACCTGTTGTGCGATGCTGTCTGGTATCCAACGGCCAGGGCCTGTCTCAAGATATCATTCACCAGCTGTTCTGTGGCCTGCAACAGAAGATGCTGTTATTCTCAAAATGGCCACCTGCCTTCTGACAAGAAGGGATGCATCTGACCCCACCCCTCACCCCAACTTTTGAAACAACTGTAATTAAAGATTAAAAAATCCTCAAGGAAAACTTAAAAGTCTGAGTAACAGACCATAAATGTAGAGTTCATGATTCTGAAAAATTATCAACTGGGATTGTTTTCATTAATCAGACATTATTTTTAAGGAAAATCAGTGAGGGCTGCTACTGAGGCATTTATTGTTGGAGGAGATCCATCAGGGAAGAGGATCAGGGTGGGTATGGAAATTGTGGCTTTTCCATCCTCTTGTCCAGGGACAGTTGTAGCTGTTTTTCTATGGTCCCATGCAGAAAAAAACCCCAAGGCTCTGTCTTTGCTATTTTCCAAACAATAAGAGCACTTACTACTCACCCCAGGAATCTTTCTTTTTGGTACCAGGGAGTGAATCCAGGGGTGCTTAACCACTGAGACATATCCCCTTTTTATATTTTATTTAGAGACAGGGTCTCACTAAGTTACTTAGGGCCTTGCTAAGTTGCTGAGGTTGGCTTTGAACTTGCAATCCTCCTGCTGCAGCCTTCCAAGACCCTGGAATTACAGGTGTGAGTCACCATGCCCAACTTTCACCCCAGAATACTTCTTAAGAAGTATCTGAAATGACACAAAAATATCTGTAGAGCTGGGGTGTAGCTCAGTGGCAGAGTACCTGCCTAGCTTGTGTGAGGCCCAGCACCACAACAAAAATAAAAACAAGGGCTGGGGATATAGCTCAGTTGGTTGAGTGCTTGCCTTGCATGCATAAGTTCCTGAGTTCAATCCCCAGCACCACAAAAATAAATAAATAAATTAAAAAAAAAAAAAAAAAAAAACCAAACCAACAAAAAAACCCTCCAGTCTGGAATAGACCATCCTGCCTGGTGGCCCCTCAGTGCCAGCAAGATCTGTATCTGGATTTACGTTTATCATCTATTTGCTGTGAAGGCCAGGGAAGATTGCCTTCCAAAGCCTAATTTTCTGTTTCTAAAAGGGGAAGAATAGGCCTGCAGTAAAAAATAAATTAGGCAATAACCACCACCACAACAACATATAATGCTTGGCCCTAAGGTATGACACATATTGTCTTTAATTGCAAAGAGCTGTTAGTGTTCTACCCTGCAGAACAGAAAAGTGCCCTGGGTGGCTGTGGGGTAATGGCTATACCCCAGCTCTACAGGCCACAGCTGCAGTTCTTGGTCTCTTTGCCACCAGCAAGCACCCACCTTTAAGATCATGTCTTCTATGACGGACGCATACACATTCTTGTGCAATGCCACAGGCTGCAGGGTGATCCCAATCTGGAAAAGCAGAAGAAAATAATTTGTTCCCATTTCTACATTAAAAATAGCATCTTTCCAAAAGCAGACTTTTCTAACACCCAGAGATGCCTGGCTGGAAGAAGGGTTCCACAAACATTCAGACAAAACTTAATCCTGTTTTTACTTCTAAATCTCTTTCATGGGGGAACATGGCTGGGATTTGTCATGAATTCTGAGTGGAAAGCCTAGAATTGACTCAATGGCCCTGTTTGCAAGAGGTAAAGATGTACTTGGAATCTGTACATCTTTACCTGGTCCCATTTTTCATCTTATCCTATAAGAGAGACAAACACTGTCTTTTACTTTGGGTCCTGAGCAGCTGACAGGCAACAGATGCTAAGAACTGCTAAGTTTCATCGGGTGGATAAACAGCTCTCATCTGTATCACAAGGGTAGTATGCATCATGTCTATACGACAGGCAGGCACTCGGGAGCTATAAAAACGTTAGTTAAAGATTACCCACTGAAGTATAACTGAAATCATGACATGCTTCATGAAGAAAAGGTGCTTGTCCTGAGGCAGGAGACTAAAGGAGAAGACAAGTAATAAGCTGTCTATATCTAGCCATCTTTACTTCAAGTCCCGTTCAACAAGCAACCTTTTCATGTGTAATTTTCTTGCCCAAGAACTCTGAGGTAGGAAGTGGGAAGTGCAGCAAGCATACTTGAGTTACTAGGCAGAAGTAGATCAGACATTTACATCGACATCACCAGGCAAGTCTGGGGTCTGAGTTTATGAGGCTGAACCTGCATATCTCATACCTGCTCTGTTATCTATCAACACCAGAGGCCACAGGCCCCTACCTTCTGTGTGACTTCACCAACAAATTCAGACCCTGGAGTTGGTGGCAGGTAGAATTTCATTTCTTCTTGTTTCTCTTCCTGCTCCTTTTTGATGTTTATCTTTAATGGCTCTGGGAGGTTGAGGATGTCCACCTCCTCCTCGTTCTCTGGTTCTCTCTTCTGAAACTGCTGCAGGTCCTCCAGTTTCCGGCAGAGGTTGTCAGCAGAGGAGAAAGATGACGGGCACTCTAAATGAGAGGTAATCAGTCTTATGACAGCTGTGGTGACAACAGTAAAGGGCTTTCAGTCTACATGGACCAACAGTTTGAGGAAGGCAGATAAGTCTCAAGGGAGCTGACCTTCTTTCCAGTTCTAAAGTTCCATAAATCTATCAAGATGAGAACTAGTATTTCATGAGGTGGATGAGAAGACAGGACCCATATAATTGCTATCTAAGACCAGAAAGTGCATAATTCTGACTTCTACCACCAAAAAACAAAACAAAACAAAAAAACAGGCCATCCCCAGACCCCTGAGTATTAAGGATTGAACTGTTTATCTTTTATTTATTTTAGCTGGGGGAAGTGGTACAGAAGGAGTGGTACCAGGAATTGAACCCAGAAGCACTTAACCACTGAACCACATCCCCAACCAGTTTTATATTTTATTTTGAGACAGAATCTTGTTAAGTTGCTGAGAGCTTTGCTAAGTTGCTGAGGCTGGGTTTGAACTTGTGATTCTCCTGCCTCAGCCTCCCAAGCTACTGGATGCACCACAACGCCCAGCTTTTCTTCACCTTTTAAATCTGGGAAATTCAGCAATGCACAGTGAAGAATATAAAAAACTATCCACATCTTCTCTGCTCAGAGAGCAGTACTGCTGATATTTAGTATGCACCATGCCCCCGCTTTTAATAAGCTTTTATAAAAAAGCCTAAGTGTGAAGACAGTAAAGTCAGTTCCAGGACACTTCTTTCACTTCATAGATGAGTAGGTGAGGTCCAAATGAGTATAAGGTGAGGTTATGGAACCCAGCAAGATGGTGGCAGGGCATTTGGCTCCTGGCCTTTTCTGTTTTATTGACTGGATTCTGACAAATCAGCAAGTCATGCACATGGAAAAAAAAAAAGAAAGCCTAGCACATGGAAAAACCTGTGCTTTCCCTAATGCACCAGTGAAACACTGTGGCAATCAATGCAGTGTCTGCCCACCAAAGAGTTTAGAGGCGGAGTCAGATAGCCCCTCATGGTGTCAAGTGCTTCAGAAGATCAAAGAAAGGAAAGGTCAACTTGCACAGGGTTCTCACAAAGTTTCCTGGAGAAAATGAGACTTATGCTAAGTCTTAAAGGGGTCACACCTCTGTGTTCCACATTCCCTCAGTCCCTACTTGAAAGTAAGACTCAAAATGCTCCTCCTCACTAGTTACCTTTTATGCCCCCCCCCCACCATAATATAGCAGTTGTTTCTTTATTCTGTCATCTACATTATTATTCACCTCCTATTGGGTGGTGTAATTCCTAGGTAGGTGTGGAGATAAAATAACAGATAAGCCACAGGCCCCAAGGAAACAGGAAGACTTGTCAATGGGGGTTGAGGGTGGGGTCCTACAGTTCCTATTTGGAGGGAGGAGGTGGATTAGGAGACTTCAAAGAAGAGATGATACTGAGGTGGGGACTCCCCAACAGAGCATGCCTGCCAGATGGCACAGCTGAACACTCTTGGCTAGCAGGCAACATTTGTCCAGGGGGCATGACAGGAGGCAGGCAAAGGCTGCTGCCATCTCTTAGCTGAAGGATGAAGCACTGAAGTTGGCCAGGGCCGAGGGTGGCAGAGCCCTGAGGCTGGCAGAGCCCTTGGGAGAGGCTCACCTGGTTCGCTATCAATCTGGGTCAGCACATCCTCAATGGAGTCCCCATCGTTTCTCAGGCTCTCGGGATCTGGAGGGGTGTAGCCATGGCAGCGGCACCAGTGAGCGATGTGCTTGGTTTTAAGGGGAGTGAGGTGGTGAAATCTTGGATTCTTCTCCAGTATCTCCTGTAAGACTTTTCGCATTGTCATTGCTCTTTGCCACTTAAAAAAATTTTTTTGAAACATAATTAAATCCTTCAACTTAGTAGTTGTGTATTGAAATAAGTCATGCAATTAAAAATCACTGTACTAACTTCTAATATTAGAATCATTTTTGTCTAAGGAAAAAAATGGACTCTATAACTTTCTAGTCTAGGGGGCAAAAAAGGGAAAAGAACCTCCATTGGTTCCCTAATGCTTATAAAATAAAACAGAAACTCCAAGGATTGGCATGTAAAGCTTTTCACCCATTTCAACCTGAGTCCCCACGTCCCATCCCCAAACCAACCACACTGACCTTCCTCCACCACTTCCTAAACCGGTTTCTTTTTACTTATAGCCCCACTGTCTCTGTCACAGAGGCTGCCACATTTTAAGTACTCAAAAAATATTTGAATTCATTTTTATACTCTGATATTCATAAAAAACTTTTTAGAAATGTGAGAGATGTTTCCATACCAAGGCAGGACAAGAAAGCAGGCCTTTCAAAGGCAAGCTATATGTCTTTGAGGAATAAGATTTTTAACTGAGGAAAACAGTTTAACATCAAATATTTTAGCAAAATATGCTGCAAATTTTACCACTGTTCCATGACAGTCAGAAGGCATGGTGTCTTGCACAACTGGCCTTCAGTGGCTGCATATGAAGAGGCAGACAACAGCTTACCTCAGCGGCTCTTCTTTTCCCAATGTTCCAGCCATAATACTGCTCCACAGACTTGGCAGAGAAGCAGCTGGCATCTTCACCTAGAACGCACACACCCCGCAACTGAATAAAGCTGTTGTGATTCAGACCAACCCTCATTTGCTGGAGGCATGTCCCAGAGTTTCTTCAGGCCTTTTTACGGGACATACATTCCTAACTGGGCAAAGCTGAAGTGCAACACAACACAGAAGGGTTCTCCTGATGAGAGAAGGCCTCCTGTGTACTCAAAGTAACTCCTGCCCTGGGAAACTGACTTCTTGATACAGACAGGTAATCTACCACCATGAAGCTATTAAAATAAGTGCTAATTACACTCCCTTAGGAGCTCTGGCCTTGCTATCAACTCTGGCAACAAACCAAAGCTCTTCACAGTTTCAGTTTTGTTTTTATTTTTTGAGAGGGAGCCTTGCTAGGTTGCTCTGCCTGGTCTCAAACTCGGGGTCGCCTGCCCAGGCTCCTGAATAGTTAGGATTCCAGGTATGCACCACTGGGCCTCTTACCCATAAAATGGGAAAGCTGAGAAAGCTGATTTTCTAACTGCCTAATATTATTCATCTGTAACTAATTTTTTTTTAAAAGAGATTTTGAATTTTCTTCTGCTGGACCGAGAAACTGTCACTGAAAATTTATTTATTTATTTTAAAAAAGATTTTTTTAGTTACAGGTGGACACAATGTTTTTATTTTACATTATGTGGTGCTGAAGTTCAAACCCAGTGCCTCACGCATGCTAGGCGAGCACTTTACCTCTGAGCCACAACCCCAGCCCTGAAAATTTATTTTGAGCTATCTCAGAATGAACCCTCAAATGTCCCCAAACTTTAACTATGGCGGTGGGGGGGGGGGTATAATTTCTTTGTCTATTCAGTTAGAGGAAAAAAATTGTAAGGTGGTCTGAACCAGCCTATCATTTTAAATCACACAAAATTAAGTGGCTGGAGGACACTTGGCTGTGTGCCTGCCCCCAGAGATGCTCAGGACGATCTCACCCCAGCAAACACCTACACAGCCATCAGAGATCTAGCCCTCAACCAGGACTAGTAAAAAGCTAATGCACAGTTACATATTTTATAATTTACACTAAAAAATGTAAATAAATTTATTCTACAATGAAAATGGTTAAAGATTAGCTGGATGACTAGGACACTGTGAATTCTCAGATCCTGCAAAGCAGCCATTTCTAGCTAAAGCCTCTTAAGATAATAATTGCCATACAGTATTAACTTACCATACCAAGTGACTTAAGTGGACTCAATATCCCAAGCAGTTCACAACTTTTAAAAAATGCATTCATATACTCAGTACAAATGTCTTACTTTTTGCAGTAATTAATGGAATCTTCTTCACTACCGCTGTTAACAGTTGCTGGATAGTCTCCAAATGGTCTATCCTGAGGATAAAAGAAAATAATTGGATAAATACATATAGCAGTTTCTAACCACACACACATATAATTATATACACAATTTCTCTTTTACATACACAATTTCTCTTTTTAAAATTAAAACCATTATGTGGGTATATTTTTCTTTCTATAGATAGCCTTCTTCATAAAGGAAGAGTGTTCTATGCTTAGAAAGAAACTGTCAAGAATAAACAGATTTTAGTTACACAAATGTACACATTTTAAAACTAAATAGCAACATAATCTTTTTGCAAGGTGATCAGAAAAATTCTACCATACAAATGCAGGTCACAGGGTTACAAGGTGATGCCGCCATCTGTCATGTTAAAGTGGCTAAGCATCGATTGTCCTAGAAATTTGAGATACTCCAAAGTATGTGGTCAGAGTTAGGTTCCTGATGTCGGAATCAGAAAACCTCAGAACCTGGGTGCAGTGGCTCACGTCTGTAATCTCAGCTACTCTGGAGACTGAAGCAAGAGGATCACGAGTTTGAGGCCAGCCTCAGAAATTTAGTGAGACCCTCTTACAAAATTTAAAAATAAAATGAAAAAGGCTGGGGATATAGCTCAATGGTAGAGTGCCCCTGGCTTCTATCCCCAGTACCAAAACAAAACAAAAAACCAAGAAAGCCTCAAGCAGCACTTTTAGACCAAAGTGTGCACAGCTCATCAAGAAGCAGCTCTGTAAGAACAGGGTGTAGCCAGCTACAAAATGTGAACACACTGGAGTGATTTTAGCCTGAGAAACTTTGTCCATTTATCAGATAAGCACCTCTGGCAAGCTTGATGAAGGGAGTTCTGAAACCCTACCCGAGGCTTGCAGGCTGTAAATCAAGTGTATCACTGTATAAACGAAGGCTCTTCAGCTTGTGCAGGGGCTTAGCTCTGCGCACACATACTCAACTGTCACAGGCATGATTTTAAAAAAACATCATAAAAATACCCATTGCAGAACTCCTTTAGAAAATATTAGAATATTTACTTAATGACATAGTTTCCCAGTTCAGAACTTTCTTCCGTTTTCACTGCTGTCTGACCCTCCTGAGAGAGGCAGCTTGGCCCGGGAGTCTCTGGTTCAGTCTTCACTACAAGAACAACAAAGAGAGAGCTGTCGGGGTCAGGCAGTGCAGGGACACGTGCAGGCAGACAAAGCTCTTCCACTGGAGCTCAGTGAGGAAACTGCCCCTCCAGCTGCTGTGGGGACGCAGCCAGAAGACTGAGATGGCTTCTGTCACCGCAGGGCCAGCACACAAGGGAAGAACTGTTAGCTTGGGTCTTGGGGGAGCAGCTCCAGGCTCATGACAAGGTGAGGGCAATAAAATGGCTTTTTAGATATTTCTTAAAGGGCCACAAACACTGTTAGGTAAGATCTCTCTCTCATAGTCACTTAAACACACCCACAACAATGAACAATGCCACATGAAAATATAGCTATTATTATTACTTTTCCAACATCATCTTTCCTGCTAAAGTTCATTAACTTTTGGCATTCTTGTAGAGTTCTGAGATACAAGGCAGAAAGCAAAAATCAGATCAATTGTGCTTGGAAACTTCCAAGCTAATCATATTAGGTTTTCAATATTACAGGTTGAGCATACTTAATTCAAAATCCAAAATTTTTTGAGTACCAATATGATGCCAAAGTAGAAAATCCCATACCACAAAACTGTTTCATGTATCAAATTATTTAAAATACTGTATAAGCTGGGTGTGGTAGTGCACCCCTGTAATCTCAGTGACTTGGGGGGCTAAGACAGGAGGATTGCAAGTTCAAAGCCAGCCTCAACAACTTCGCAGCCCTAAGCAACTTAGTGAGACCCTGTCTCAAAAAATAAATTAATTAATAAAAGGGTTGGGGATGTGGCTCAGTGGGCAAGCACTCCTGGGTTCAATCCTCAGTATCAAAACCAAACCAAACCAAACCAAAAAAACTGTATAAAATTACCTTCAGGCTATATGTATAAGGTATACATGAAACATAAATCAACTTCATGTTTAGACTTAGTCCCAAGGTATTTCTCATTTCATTATGTAAATACTGTATTCCAAAATCTGAAATCTGAAACACTTCTGGTCTCAAGAATTTTGGATACGGGATACCCAGATTGCACTAAATCTACTGATAGAAGACAGCAATGGCTCAGGAGCATGTGTCTTCCTTTCTTTCTACTGTCTAATTTGATTTGAAAAATCATGATTATACAGCTACTGCTTCTGTCCCAGCTGCCATGCCTCCATTCTCTTTCCTTGACAACCCACTCTGAACATCAACATTAGGTAACTTTCCAAAAAAGACTTCAGTGTCATTAGCCCACTCAATATTCTTCAGTAATTCCCTTTAACAACAGGGATCTACAACTGAGATATACATCTCTTTTCTTCTTCACTGATGCATAGCAAGCATTCAATAAACAAACCCTGAGTTCAAAAAATTTTAGTATACATACACCTGGGTACCCACCGTTCAAATCAAGATGTATCCTTCCTGCCTCTGGCAGCCTACCTTATGCTTCTGACAGTTCATCTCAGACAAAGATGACTACTTTTTGCCCATTTAAAAATCTGTAGTTCTGGAATCATATTGTGCATGCTTTTTTTGTGTGTGTGTCAACACCATTTTAGCTATTACGAGTAGCAATGCATGCCTTTTGGTTGACATATGCATTCATTTCCTAGAAGTGGATTTGCTGGAACTGGAACATAGGATGGGTATTTAACTTTATTAGAAACTGCCAAACTGGTTTTTAAAGCAATTGTTTCAATTTAGAAACCACCAGCAGTGTATCCAAGTTCCAGCTGCTTTACATCCTTGCCAACACTTGATATTGTGAATCCTTTTATTTTGGAGATTCTGGTCTATTACTATGCTTTTATTTACTTTTCCTTGATGACTACTGAGGGTGAATACTTTTTCCTTATGAGCTATTTGGATGTCCTCTTCTGTGAAGCAACTGTCCATATTTTTTTTGCTCATTAAAAAAAAAATTAGTTTCAGCCGGGCGTGGTGGCACATGCCTATAATGATGAATAGGCATGGTTCTACTTACAAAAACAGGCAGTAGATCTCAGTTAGCCAACCCTGTGTTAGGTGAGTACTTGGTAAATTACAAATACATCTCTTTCTGAGATTCTCATGAGATCCTGGCATGTTTGAAAGCAGCCCAGAATGGTGGTAGACACATATTATTTCAAATTCTAACTTCACTGCTTTCTAGATTCAGGAAATATATACTTAATATCTCCAAACTTGCTTCCTCATCTGCAAAATAGGCATAGAGTGGGCAACAGCTATGTTGAAGTATTGGAATAAGAGCCTTCGAAAGCCATAAAGCAGCTAGAATGGTGCTTGGCACACTGCAGGCTCTGAACACAAGTAGCTGTCATTACTGGACACATTATACATGGCAAATGTGTTGCTGAAATTCATTTTATTGCTTTTTATTGTTGTTGTGACATTGGGGATTGAACCCAGGGATGCTTTTACACTGAGCTACATCCCCAGTCCTTTTTATTTTTTATTCTCAAGTCTCCATCCTTCTTGTCACTATACTGAGCAGCTGGGATTACTGGTGAAAACACAGTGCCTGGCTACTGCCTTATTCTTGTCGTCAGGAAAGTACCCCTGCAAGATCACCAGTCTTGTCCCTCCTTTACTATAACTGGCTCCCCAAATGAATCTCTTATTGGTCTACTTCCCCCCTCCAAAATCCTCTGAGTCCCTATCTCCACTGTTTCCTTAATCTGCACCCCCACTGACCTCTCCACAGGTAAAACGCTCTGAAGCATATGGAAAATAACATCCCCCAATAAAAGGGAAATGATGGCTCCCAGGGAGAAAAGGAGGACAGTGTGATGCAGGAGGGGAGGAGGGGAAGGCAAACAATTGGCCCCAATCTTCCATCCTTTCCCAATAATATGGAGTCCTGAAGGAAAAAGCAAACAAATGGGCTCTGGATTTTTATCAATGAGTTTTAAGCTTTTAGAACTGTTTCCTTGAATTGAGTTTCCAGCTTTTATAGCTGTTTTCCTGAGTTAGATTTTTAACCTGCACAACTAGTTTCCTGACTGCCAGCCAGTACATCCCAAGTCTCCAATGATTAATTCACCCCCATTGTAACCTATAAAACACAGACCCTTCTGTAACCAGTTGCCATTTTCTACCCTGAAAATGTGCCACGTGCCATTCCACCACTACTTAATAAAGACAGCTCGTTGATCTGTTTGAGGTCTACTCCCTTTTCAGTTATGTTGCTTACAAGCTCTACTATTTTTTTTTTTAATATTTATTTTTTAGTTTTCGGCGGACACAACATCTTTGTTTGTATGTGGTGCTGAGGATCGAACCCGGGCTGCACGCATGCCAGGCGAGCGCGCTACCGCTTGAGCCACATCCCCAACCCCTACAAGCTCTACTCTTTAAAGTCCAATTTATAATCCATGCCCCATACAAAGTCTTGTCCCCTCCACATCCCAACAACCCTGATTAGGCATTCTAGACTGCAATATTTCAGCAATCATTTTCCAGACCACTTATCTTTAATTTGTCAATCACTGCTTGCTGTTAACCATAGCTCTCTTCAACCTGATTATAAAGTCTTAGAGGACAGAAATGATGCTTTACAGATTTGTATTCACTCAATGTCAAGTCTACTAGATAAGTAGTCAGTAACTATTTGCCAAGTGACAGATGCTGAAAATTCAAAGAACCCAGACTGAAGTAATGTCATGCATAAAATTTCAGGACAAAACACCATGAGATCTTACATACCTTTTGTAACAGCTGCTGGAGCAGAGCTGGGGACAGCTGGAGTTGGGGCAGCTATAGGCAGAATGGTAGGCGATTTGCTGGTAGAAAATGATTGAACCACTAAAGGGCAAAAGGAGGGGGATATAACAGAGATGGAAATTATTTTTAATAAGGATGATCTAACTCCCATGTGGCAGCCCCATATTAGACTAATAGCACAGTCTCAGGACAATGGGAATGGTAAGGTCCTCATACAGTGATCCAACAAGTTGGGCTGTTTATTATTAGTACCAGGATAAATGAACTAAATCCTCAACTGGAAATTGTGGCTTGTCAGGAAACTAAAAAACAAAAAGCCAATTAGCCTAAATTCCCACAAATACTTACAACGTTCTCTCTTGACTCAACTTTAGAAATGGGCAGCTATTTAGAAGCCAGTGGATTGTTTGGGTTTTACTTTCAGCCCCAGAGTTAGTACCCGTAGGCCAGGATGTGTCACAAATAATGGGCAGGCTATACAGGGCAAGCCATCACCAAATAGTAGAAACTTCCCCAAGGTGGACCTGTGTGACAAAACCAGGGGTGAGGTCATACCTTTATTCACAGGCATAAGTATGGTCTGCACACCTCCAGAGGTGTTTACGCTGAGTGGTTTAAGCTGGCTGGGAATCGTGAGGACAGCCTGCTGGGGATTGGACTGACTGGAGTGAATCTTTAACAATCCTAAAATAAGTTGGAAAATAAGGCCAAGCTCAAGATTAGATGCTTCCTTTAAGCCCCGTGCCCTTTCTGCCACTCATGTTTTCTCCCAAGAGAAGTTTCCAAGACATTCACCTTTCAGGAAATAAAGGGCTGGAAGCAAGCAACAAAGGAAGCTGCAGAATTCACAATCTCACTGATGTGACAATAATGATTTATTTTTAAAGTGTCCTTCCCCAATCACAGAGTAATACAGAAAATTTTGCAAATAAATGCAGGACTAATAGAAAGGATAAAAGGCCACCCAAAGTCCTACTGCAAAGATGTCTGGAATCAACATTTTAAGACATTTCCTTTCCATGTGTATTTTCTATGACCATTTATTTGCTTTGTATATAGCAATGATGCGTGCACAATGAACACAAATTTTGTATTTTGATGTAGAAAACTGTCATTCTCCTACTTAAAAACTTATTCTGGGGCTGGGGTTGTGGCTCAGAGGGAGCATGCATGAGGCACTGGGTTCCATCCTCAGCACCAGGGAGTAAAATAAAGACATTGTATCCACCTGTAACTAAAAAATAAATATTAAAAAAAAAAAAACAAACTTAATCTGGCTAAAGAACGTCTCCAAAATTAGCTTCAAATTATTTGAGGTCCATTTTAATCTGGTCCCTCTGTATCTGCATCTTCTTTCATGGTCCCTTCACACCTTTTTTGGGGGGGAGTGGGGCGGGTAATCATGGGGTGCTTAACCATTGAGTCATACCCCCAATCCTTTTTATTTTTTTTAATTTTTTTTTAAGTTGTAGATGGACACAATACCTTTATTTTATTTATTTATATGTGGTGCTGAGGATTGAACCCAGGGCCTCACACATGCTAGGCAAGTGCTCTACCACTGAGCCACCAGCCACCACCCAGCCCCTTTTTATTTTTTATTTTGCATTAGGGTCTTGCTGAGTTGCTTAGGGCCTTACTAAGTTGCTGAGGCTGGCTTTGAATTTGCAATCATCCTGCATCAGCTCCCGAATGGCTAGGATTACAGGAGTGTACCACCACGCCCAGTTATACTTTTTATTTTAGCGCCACTAAATTTATTCAGTAAAAGGAAAATGCACCCTTTGCACCTATACTTTAATCTGCCTGTATATCTTGATTTATATTTCCTATCTTTATGTAGCCTCTATTTTTCAAACATCAAATGTTCTCTATCATTTTAGAGAGGGTCATCCTCTTATTTATCATAAAGGTAATTTCCATAGCTGTCTTTGCATCACAAATTGCTCCAAGTGTTTCAGAAGGGGTGGGGCTGGGGGGTTGGAATAACAAAGAAGTTTTACTGGAAGAGCACAGCAGACACAAACATATGACAACATCTACTAAAAACAGCAATGGAGGCTATGGGTATGTTATGGCCTACAAGGACAGCAGCTGGTTTGAACTAAGGAAAAAAAATCCCTTAATTTTTTTTTTTGACCAGAGATTGAACCCAGGAGCACTTAACCACTGAGCCACAACCCCACCCCTACTCCTTTTTTTCAAAATTTTGAAACAGGGTCTCTTGCTAAATTGCCATGGCTGGCTTTGAACCTGTGGTCCTCCTGCCTCAGCCTTCTGAGCTGCTGGAATTGCAGGTGTGTGCCACCACACCTGACGGAAAGGAATCCTTTTAAATTCTTTCTAAAACAAGGCCTTCAATGAACAGAAAAATCTTCCTTTGAAACAGAGAAATGTTAAATCAGTTAAGTAGTAAGTACTTATTGAGATATGTACTCCCTTGGGGAGTACAATTATGGTCTGGTGTTTCTGTACTTTTAAAATTCTTATTTTTATCAAATTATTATGTGGTACACAGTTTAAAAGTTAAAAAAAAAAAAAAAAAAGACACAAAGCCTTATAACTAAAACCTGTCACCCCTTGTTCCACCCCCTAATTCTCATCTAGTTCCAGTGGCATCCATTTTTTTTTTTTTTTTTTTGTACAGGGGATTGAACTCAAGAGGCACTGAACCACATCCCCAGCCCTATTTTGTATTTATTTACAGACAGGGTCTCACTGAGTTGCTTAGCGCCTCACTTTTGCTGGCTCTGAACTCTCAATCCTCCTGCCTCAGCCTCTCAAGCAGCTGGGAGCATCCACTTTTAACCCTTTTGGTTCTTTCTTTTAATATGTACCTCAGCAATTTTAAAAGAATGTGTATGGTACAGGCTTTGATTCACTGATTTTTCATGTGACCCACCTGACTAATGAGGTTGGCCTTGAGGCACTTTCACTCACTCCTCCCCACACTCCAATACTACTCTTTGATTATCCAGATGAGTATACTCTGATATCATAATTCCATTTACTTCCTGATGTTAACAATTTCCTCCCTTATCATTTGAAAATTTAGTTTTCTTCTAACCCTTTCCCAAAGTCTTTCCATCTCCTTCCAGAGCGCCTTAAGCTACCCCTTAATAGAATTCTGCATATGTCAAACCCCCTCCACAGTCTACAGTTCCACTTCTCAGAAGAGAAGCCCTTCCAGGATCTCTGATCTGCTCCACTTTGGCCTGGTGCTTCCTAGAGCTGCCACACAGCTCTCAGTCATGTACTATCTCTGCACTATTACGCTTTACCTTTCTTCTAAACTGGATCTTCTATTTTCTCTCCTCTTTTTTGGTTTATATGTCTTCATTCTGCATATGTTTAAGTAACGTCTTTGGACAGTGTATAGAAAATACATTAGAAATTTTGTCAGAAAATAATTCTACCTTCACTCAAAAATTATCTGGCTGCCTAAAGAATTCTAGAATGAAAGTTATTTTCCCTAGAATTTTGAAAAGCAGTTAGATTCCAGAACTGCTATGGAACTTAATGAAAATATAATGCAATTCCTGAAATTTTTATTTCTTTTTCTTTCTTTTAAGAAGGACACAGTGGTGTAGGCCTGTAATGCCAGCAACTCGGGAGGCTGAGGCAAGAGGATCACAAATTCAAAGATAGCCACAGCAACTTAGTGAGGCCCTGTCTCAAAATAAAAAAGGTTTGGGAATGTGGTTCAATGGTTAAGTACTTCTAGGTTTGATCCTTGGAAAGTGTGTGTGTGTGTGTGTGTGTGTGCGCGCGCACACACACACAAATTTTGCCCTACATAAAGAATTAAAAGATACATTTTTCTGGGGCCATTTAGTGCTGGCACAAAGGTATCATACATTTTGCCAAATCTCAAGCATATCTATCCAATATAATAACTAACTTCAAAAAATATGAGTTAGAGTTAGTGAAACTTATATATATATACTTTGTTCATAAGAGGAAATAAAAGTATGCTATTTTAAAATGAATTCCAGTCAAAATTGATAATTTATAAAAAAGAAATGGGTTCTTTAAGGAGAGCAAACTGTTAATTCTCCATAAATTACATTATGAAGACAGCTAAAATACCCAACAAAATTTCAGGTGGCTACAATTTTATCAAATCATTTATTTATTTATTTATATTTTATATTAAATCATTTAAAAATGATTATTCAGCGAGGTGTGGTGGCACACACCTGTAATCCCAGCTACTTAAGGTGAGGCAGGAGGATGGCAAGTTTTAGGCCATCCTTAGCAACTGAGTGAAACCCTATCTCAAAATAAAAAGTAAAAAGGCCTGGGGATGTGTCTCAGTGGTAGAGCATCCCTGGATGCAAACTCTGTACCACCAAAAAAAAAAAAAAAGTTTAATCTGTAAACTGAATAATTATTTTTAAATGATAAATTTAAGTCTTTTGAGCCACATCCCCAGCCCCATAAATTTAAGTCTTGGACTTGAAAATTTATATATACATTTTAATATAAGAATAATTTATCTAAAAAGCAGCAATCTGTAAAATATTTCTGCCTTATATTTTAGTAACTTATTAAACAAAATATTAAGACTTTCCAAAAATATTCTAGCCCCAAGTGAAAAACTGAGAGAAATAACATCATGATACAACTGACCTGATACTGTGGCTTTCCCTGAGATGGGGTTTGGTGTGGACACCAGGGAGGTGGCACTGACGACAGTGGGAGCTGCAGCCTTGCAGGTTCCCACGGCGGCCTGGCTCACACACACTTGCGGCTGCCCAGTAGTTTTCATTACAGAACCAAGGGTAGAGGATGAGCCAGGGACTGCTCCTTCAGACTGCTTACCCACAGGGCCAGAAATGAAGAAATTAAGAAGAAAGCAGTGTGACTTACTTGGAGCAGTGACTGCCAGACAGCACACTCAGCAAATACGAACTATTAGTTGTTATTATTTATTAAATGTCATGCCATTAAAAAAAAAAGTATGGCTTCTCTAATTCAGTGATTTCTATGCTTTTAGATTTCATAGACCAGAAAAAAATGAGAGTGTGTCGTAGTGTTACATTAAAAAATAACTCACCATCTATTATTTCAACACCAGAAAAACAGAAAGAAATATTCTCAGAATGTAAAAATGAAATAAAATGGGCTTTATTAACAACTTAACTAGAGTTTTAAAATCTGTCACTTCATTCAAGACACATCTACTACATGGCAGGCATAGTATCAAATGTTAGAGCTCAGAGCTAAAAGCCACCAAGGAAGAGTGGTCACCAGAATGATAAGTGCCACTGCAGGCGTAGGTGCACGGCACACAACTGAGAGGGAAATCACTGCTTTTGACTAGGGATGCAAAAGGGAGGGTACTGGAGAATGTTTCAGGTAAGATACAGAGTACTTTAAAGGACCCTTCAATATTCAAGTCAAAGATGGGAGAGGAAGGAACGTTCTTGGCAGAAGAAAGCAGGTGGAAAGTCAGAAAGAACACGGTATGCTAAGGAGCTTGCAAAGCAGAGAAGTACAGGAGAAGCAGCAGCTGTGGAGTGTGAAGTCAGATCGTAAAAGTGCTTTGGAGTCCCAAGACAATTCATAGGAGAAATAAGTCTTTTCAACAAATGTTGCTGGGCCAAGTGGATATTTACATATTAAAGAATGCAATTTGGTTTCCAACTCACACAACACATGACACCTCAAAATTAATCAGAATTAAATATAAAATAGAAGAAAAGTAAGCTTAAATTTTGTGACTTTGGATTAGGCAATGGTTTATTAAGACGTGACACCAAAAGAACAAGAAAAGAAAAATAGATCAATCAGATTTCATTAAAACTAAAAACTTTTGTGGTTCAAAGGATACCATTAAGAAAAAAAGTCAGCTCAGGGTGGGAGACATTTTTTGCAAACATGTAAGACAGTTGAATCTAGACTACATGAAATATTCAACAATTTAATAACATAAAGACAAGCCAACTAAGAAATGGACAAACGACCTGATATTTCTCCAAAGCTAAATAAATGGCCCATAAGTTCATAAAAATATACTCTATATTACTACCTATCAAAGAATTTCAAATCAAAACCACAATGAGATACAACTTCACATCCATGAAGATGGTGATGATTTTTTTTTAAAAGGATAACAAGTATCAATAAGGATGTAGATATTGGAACTCTCATACATTGCTAGAATGACTATAAAATGGAACAGCTCTTGGGAAACAGTCTGCCAGGTCTTCAAAATGTTAAACACTACTTTTGATATGAGCCAGCAATTCCATTCCTAGACATACTGACTACAGAAATATTTGTTTATGCAAAAGCTGGTATATAAATGTTCACAGTAGCGTTATTCATAATTGTTAAAAAGCAGAAAACAATCCAGATGTCTGTCAACTGATGAATAGACAAAAATGTGGTATGTCCATAAAACTGAGAATTATTTAGCTACAGAATGGAATGGAGTATTGACACATGCTATAACATGATGAACCCTGAAAATGCTATGCTAAGCAAAAGAAGCCAGACACAGAAGGTCACATGTTGTATGGCTACATTCATATGAAATGTCCAAAATAGGACTATCCACAAAGAAAGAAGGGTTAGTGATTATGTAGGGATAGGGTACGGCCAGGGGAGTGACTGCTAATGGGTATTCGGTTTCTTTGAGGGACAATAAGAATGTTCTGGAATTAGATGATGATAAGTACAACCCAGTGAATATAATAAGAATCAATGAATTGCGCACTATAAAAATGGGAAATTTTATAGTATGTGAATTATATCAATTTTTTTAAGAAAGAACAACATTATGACTGAAATTGATTTCCATGCATCTGTGAGTTTGTTGGGATGAACCCAACTACTATGTATAACTATAAAGCTCTAATTAAAAAAAAAAAAAAAAAAAAATTCCAATTTAAAAAAGGCACAATGCTATGCCTCTTGGGAATCTATCTTCCTTATGTTCCTCCTTTTTCATGTTTCATGATTTTCTACTGCAATGCTAACTCACCTGTTGTGCAGGACCATTGGCTGAGAGGGTCACAGCAGGGGAAGTAGCAGTTGTGATAACTCCTCCTGCTACCCTCAGCATTGTGGTTCCAGGCTTTGAGAGTTGTGAAGTGGCTGGCACAGACTTCAAGGTGCTATCAGATATTTTCATTAGAGATGCCTGTCCCCCAGCTGCTGCCTGCAGAAACAAAAGGGACAGAGTAATAAGGTAACACTAAGAGACACAATTTATTGTTTATTTACATGTGAGAGCACATCCAAGGAAGTCTTGCTAATCGAGATTAGATGAAGTTTTTATGAACCTAAGAAGTCTAAATTTAATGACCTTTGACTTATAAATGCACTAATACAGAACAAGTAAATGGATTAGTTTACAAATTACCATGAAACTCAAACTCGGGGCCAGACTCAAATGGGTAAGTTCAGGGGCTCTAGGCTCTATACTGGCTTAGCATTTTAGTACTGGAGAACCACTCAGCAAATATCGTCTCAGTGGTCTAAGTCAAGGCTCAGTAAACTTTTTTTTTTTTTGTAAAGGGAATAAATAAACATTTCTGGCTTTGTAGACTACAGAAATCTCTGTTGCAATTCCTCAATTCTACGATGACAACATGACACAAGTGTGGCTGTGTTTCAATAAAATGTTATTTACAAAAACAGAAAGTCTTGGGTGTAGTTTGCGGGCCCCTATCTATTACTTAGTGCCCAAATTTATGCCACTAATAAGCAGATACCATTTTTTTTCAGTTTCTGAGAGCTTACTGCCTGCCGGAATGTTAGAAAAAACTTACATGTATCTTATGTCATTCATAAATTGTTATTCTCATTAAATAGATAGGGCTGATTTTAGTTCTGCCTTAGAGGAGATTAAGCTCAGTGACTTTATCAGGGTCATACAGCTAGCTAGTAATTGACGAAGACCTGATTAGAATCCAGAAGTACTAGCCATAGCATAATTTGCAATGGCGTCTTATACAAATTAAAACCACAATAACATATCACTTCACGGTCACAAAAATGCTAAAATTAAAAATGACAATTCTGGGGTTGTGGCTCAGTGGTAGAGCACTTGCCTAGAATGTGTGAGGCACTGGGTTGGATTCTCAGCACATATATAAGTAGATAAATGAAATAAATGTCTACCAACTAAAAAAAAATATTAAAAAATAGTATCTTAAAAAAAAAGAAGAAAGACAATACTCTGTGTTGGTGAGGATATGGAGCAACTCTGATGTGATTTATGGGAGAATCAAATGGTACAACCACTCATAAACATACATTAGGCTATCTGAGTTATTCTTCTGCACAAAAAGACCTGTGTAAGAATGTTTATAGTAGTTTAATTCATAAGCCAAAAACTGGAAATAATCCATGTCTATCAAGAGTTATGAAACAAAATATATTCAAAAATTAAAAAATATAAACTACTAATACACACATCCATCTCCTTCCCTTAGACATCAGAGCCTGGTTCCTGATCCTTCAAACTCAGGGACGTATACCATCAGGCGCATGCCCCAACTCCAAAGAGCTCTCAGGCCTCTAGCCTCAGAATGAATTATACCACTAGCTTTCCTGGTTCTCCAGATTGCAGACCTGACATATCTGGGATTTGGTCTCCATAATCATGAGCCAATTTTTAGAATAAATCTCCATTTATATATCTATCTGTGTGTGTGTGCGCACGCGTGTGTATATATATCCCACTGAGATGAATCTCAAAAAATTATGTTGAGCAATAGATGCTAGACATAAAAAGAGCATATACTATGTAATTCCACTGATATGAAGTTCAAGAACACATAAAAACTGATGTCTGATGAGAGAAATAGAAAAGTGGTGATTAAAAATGTTTTAGAGTGAAATATTCTATATCTTGATTGGAACAGTGATTGCATCTATTTATTTATGTATATATTTCAAAACTCACTGAGCAGTACATTTATAATCTGTGCATTATTTTATATGATTATACTTTAATCATGACTGATGAGAGCTAAAACTAAAAAAGAATTTAAAACTTAAGTTTTTTTTTTTTTTTTTAAGATATACATGGCAGTAGGGTGTATTTTGACATATCATACAAACATGGAATATAACTTATTCTAATTAGGATCCCATTCCTATGGTTGTACATAATGTGGTGAAACTTTGAATGTGGGCTGGGGTGCAGCTCAGTGGTAGAGCGCTTGCCTAGGCTATAAAAAGGTCCTGGGCTTGATCCTCAGTATCCCTTTCTCGCACACATACAAACATATACACGCATGCGCGCGCGCACACACACACACACACACAGAAGGAATAAAGAAACAAAGAAAAAGAAAAAAAGTTTGAATTTTCTTATACATGAAAATTGGGTTGCTTCCAATAGATCTGAGTTGCTTCCATAGATTTTAATATAAAGTACTATTGTGATGGTTAATTTTATATCAACTGAGTGAGTGGAAGGGATACCCAGATAGCTGGTAAACCATTAATTCCGGGTATTTTCAGAATAGATTAGCAGCAGAGATGTGCCCTCACCAATGTGGTTGGGTAACATCCAATCTATTGAGGGCCTAACAACAAAAGGTAGATCAAAGGCAAATTCTTTTTTTTTTTTTTTTTTTTTTTTGAGTTTTCTTTTACTTGGTGTTCAGGTATCATTTTTTTTTTTAAATTTATTTATTTATTTTAGTTCTCGGCGGACACAACATCTTTGTTGGTATGTGGTGCTGAGGATCGAACCCGGGCCGCACGCATACCAGGCGAGCGCGCTACCGCTTGAGCCACATCCCCAGCCCCAAAGGCAAATTCTTACTCTCACTCTTTGAGCTGGGGCATCCATCTTCTGCTCTTAGATATCAGAGCTCCTGGTTCCTGGTCCTTCAAAATCAGGGGCATATATATCATGTGCATGCCCCAACTCCAACGAGCTCTCAGGCCTCTAGCCTCAGAATGAATTATACCACTAGTTTTCCTGTTTCTCCAGACTGCAGACCTGACATATCTGGGACTTGGTCTCCATAATCATGAGCCAATTTTTAGAATCTCCATTTATATATCTGTGTGTATATATATCCTATGGTTCTGTTTCTCTATGAAAGCTAATAAAATGTAATCTATAAATTACTTTTTAAAAAATATTTATTTATTTAAATTGTAGATGGACATAATATCTTTATTTATTTTTATAAATAAAGGTGAGCACTATATATTTTTAAATAAATATATAGGCGAGCACTCTACCTCTGAGCCATGACCCCAGCCCTTTTATTTCTTTTTGATGCAAGAATTTAGAATATATTTCAAAGTACTTCTAATTATTGTCATTGTGTTTTTTTAACTAATCAAGAAAATTAGGTACAATGAATGCTACTTTTGGGATACGCTAAGATTTTTTTGGTGACCAACTGCATAATCAACTTATTAATGTTCCAAAGGCATAAAAGATATATATATATAGTGTTAGAAAGATACATAATTAAGCCTACCAACAATGAACTATGGTATGTGTATGATTTGATTGTATATGTGCAGGAAGCTTGGTCCCCAGTATGGCAATGTGAATGGGCTGGAACCTTTACATGGTAGGTATTACTGGAAGGTGAATAGGTCAGGGATTAATGCTGGTTTCATGGAGAGGGCTAATTCTCACAAAATCAAGTTGTTACAAAAGAGCAGGTCTGACCTCTGAATCCCTCTGGCTCCCTGTCTTGCCACGTAGACTCTTCTTACATGTGCTCCCACAAGCATGCCACCTACCATGTTATGATGATGATGCAGCCAAGGTGACTCTCAGAAGAGGCCAAAGAGATGTGGCCACCTAGTCATGGACTTTCAGTCTCCAAAACTGTGACCTAAATAAACTTCTTTCTTTACAAATTACTCAGCCTTGGATATTTTGATATAGTAACAGATAACAAACTAATATACTAATACAGTGTTATTCCAACTCAAATTCTTATCCAATTCTCAAATATATGCAAATAAAAACCATTTTATTAAGTTCTCTTCATATGGTAATATTTTTTGTACCCTGTGTAATCACTGCTACACAGTTCAATGCATAAATAATCATACCATTTCATTTTTATTGTGGATCTTTTTTGAATTTTTTAGGCACTGGAGATTTAACCCAGGGACACTTTGTCATTGAGCTGCATCCCCAGTCCTTTTATTTTTTATTTATTTTAAGACAGGGTCTCACTAAGTTGCTGAGAGCCTTGCTAAGTTGCTGAGGCTGGCCTCAAACTTAGAATACTCCTATCTTAGTCTGGTGTGCATCACCACACCCAGCTCATTGTGGATTTTAATTTTGATAACTAAAACTATTTTTCTGTTCCAGGTTGAGAATGGGGGATTGAACACAGACTACAATACTCCTCCCAGCATTAAATCCACAAAAAATGGTAGCAAAGACAAATAAAGTTTATTATATTGACTGCTCAAAAGCTAGCTGAGGAACACAATAGTGGATAAGCAATTATGGAAAACAAAAGTCTACAGAAGAAACAAGAAGAAATAATATCTGAACAGATCTTTGTCTATTAAATAAATTGAAGCTTCAGTTAGTCAGACCAGACAGACATTACAAAGAAAACTACTGATCAATATATCCTTTGTAAAAAATTATAAACAAATTTCTTTTGTTAAAAAATATTTATTTTTTAGTTTTAGGTGGATACTATATCTTTATTTTATTTTTATATGATGCTGAGGATTAAACCCAGTGCTTCACAGGTGCTAGGCGGGCACTATACCACTTGAGCCACAACCCCAGCCCCATATAAACCAATTTCATCAAACTAAATACAACAATATGTTAACAAAGGATAATATATAAAAACCAAGTGAGGTTTATCCCAGGAATACAGGTAGGTTTAACATTAAAAAAAATGAAAATAAAAACAAATCAATGTAATTAACAAACTAAAGAAAAGACATATAACCATGCTCAACAAAGAAAGTGTCCATTAGCAAAAATCTAATATTTATTCCATTTTCTGAGAAATGCTGAAATATATAGTCATAGAAAATGCTGTTTTGGGATGAATGGTATGTATACAATCTATATTCTGTACTTTTGTCTGCAAAATCTGGTAAATTTTGGAGATTTAGTTATAAGATCTTCCTACAAATGATTATGATGTTCCTTACCCAGTTAAAATTTGGATGTTGTTCTTGGGTTTATACTAAACAATGCTGAAGAAACATACCCCAAACCCATCAGAGCACTTACTTACTATATTATACTGTGGCTAAATCATCTATTACACTATTCTAAATCTTTCATGAAATCTCTCCAGAGAAGTGATACAATTAAAGTATCAAAGAATCTTTGGTTCTTCTAAGGAAATATATATATTTTTTTCTTTCTCATAAGCAGTGATTTTATAATTCATCAAGGTTCTCATTTTACCTTTTCTGTCAAATTTACACCTCATATTATTAACTATATAGGATCCTACTGTTTGTATATCTGAATACCTCTTGGTCTTATTTTCTCATTTCAGCTATATTTTCCCAACCCTCAAGACTTATTTTTAATTTTCTATACTATTTTATTATTCATTTTCTCATGTAAACTTAACTTCTTATAGTTTGTGTAAAGAGAGAAGCTATAAAAAAGTAATTAAATGCCACAATCACCACATAATAGGAGTGTGTGCGGGTGCACGTTTACCTGTGTAAACAAAGTGGTTTTCTGTCCAGAGATAACTTTTAAGGTCTGCTGTCCCTGCGCAGAAGATGTGCTGACTCCCAGTGTTCCCTGGACCACTGACCCAGTAGTCAGTTGTTTTCCCGATGTCTGAGGTGATGGCTGGCCGACCAAAAATGTGCCCTAAGTTAGGGAGAGAAAAAGAATTAACCAGGAATTTGTTAAATTCAAATGGATAGCTCTAATCCTTTAAATCAAAAGAACCCAAGTGACAAGCTACAATGCTCTCCCCTTCATCCTTTGACTTAGTTAAAACAACTGAAAACTAAGTCAGCTCTAAGTATAACTAACATATAACTAAGAATAACTCCACTTCTTAAACTTTGCACAGTAGTTATACTGCTGGTTATTGGAAAGTTAAGTTCTGCAATCTAGGTGGATTTAATCAGATTGATAACTATTCATCCTTTTCAATAGGAATGTCTAGAACCAAAATACTATTATGTTTCTTAGAGGAGAATGAAGGATTTCCAGAACAAGGGTAAAGAAGGTGGAAACCTATTTCTCACTGAATCTGACCCTACTCAAAATACCACTACTTGATACTCCTCTCTGGTTGCACTCTTCTAAGAGCAAAATTTCAACTGTATGTTAATACTGTTTATTACTTCATGGATTTTGGAAGAAAATAAACAAAATGGCAAGCTTTCTTTGAGGCAGAAAGGTCTGGATTTAAATCCAAAGTCTACCATTAGCTTAGCAGGAAGGTCTTGTATAAATAACTTAAGTCTTTCTGAATCTATTTCCTCATCTTTCAAAAAAAGCCCCCCCAAAAATAGATTTATAATATGGGTAAAATGTAAGTGTTACTGGTCCCAGAGCACTAAAGGCAAAGGAACTTTAAAAATTAAAGGCACTTATCAGATAGCTAAATGGTTTAAAATATGAGGCACAAGTAACAGACCTGGGGAGTTTGCTTGAGGATGTAGGATGTGTAAGTCAGGTGCTGGGAGATCCCTCCAGGGCCAGTGGTGCCCTGGGATCCTCCTGTTCCTCCACTGCCACTGCCTCCAGCACTGCCACTGCTGCCTCCACCTCCACTTCCTCCTGCAGCGCCACTACCAGCAGCGGCTGACCCCGACTGGAGGTCTGCAAATACAATGAGTGATAGCCATATCATAAAGAGTCAAGCAACGGTTTAACAGGAAAAGAGCAGGTGAGTCCAGAGATGCTTCCCCTGTAGCATTCCTCCTGCTTTCCATACTTTTCTTTCCTCTGTATTACATCTACTCTGTGACAAGATTGAGGTGAACTTTCTAGAGTCTGAAGGTAAAATTAAAATCTACTTATAGGTATCTGTAATATGAAATTTTGATATCCAAAATGTTTTGAGCACCGTGACATTGAAAAAAATCCCCCCCCCCCCCCAAAAAAATCTGAAATACCTCTAGTCCCAAGCTTTGTTTTTGCAGTATTGGGGACTGAATCCAGGAGCGCTCTACCATTGAGCTACATTCCCAGCCCTTTTTTATTTTTCAGATAGGATTTCCCTTAAATTGCTGAGGCTGGCCTCAAATTTGCAATCCTCCTGCCTAGTCCCCCAAGTAGCTGAGATTACAGGTATGCACTGCAATGCTCGGATGGTCCCAAGCATTTTGGATGAGTAGTTTGTACATGTAGTTTGAATTTGAATGACAGCTGACTATATTTCAGCTCTAAGTATAATGAAGAACTTATCTTTGACAAGCATTTTGACTTAGTAACATTTTAATCAACCCCCCCCCCATTTATAATGACTCTAGGACCCCCATTCTATTTTGCTTTTCAAATCCCACTTCAAAGCCTATGGGTTCGTTTTACTTCCATTTGTGTGAGATAATGTCTACAAGCTACCTAGATTATAAATATTTAAATATTTACTTAATAAATATTAGAGATCAGCTTCCTTCCCCACCTTAATTCTGGTGACTATTATAATTAGAACAGATTCCTTCCCAATGGTACATTTTGATCCTGAGGACATCAGAAAAATCTAAGTAGCTTTCTGGGTTTTTTTCTGGGATTTGCACTGTCCTTTTCTTACGTAGCTAACTTTCTGACATTCCCCTGCTTAGGTATCAGGAAAAACATCAGGGTGAGAGTGGCAATGACTCATTACAGAGAATAAACTACACACTGCACTTGCCAAAAATTTCCTCCTTTCCTTTCATCTGTCCTTCCTTCCTTCCATCCTTCCTTTTTTTTTTTTTGTGCAGTCCTAGGGATTGAACCCAGGGGCACTCTTCTATATTCCCAGATCTTTCTATTTTTTATTTTGAGAGAGGTTCTCACTAAGTTGTCCAGGCTAGCCTGGTATTCACAATGCTCCTGCCTCTGCCTCGCGAGTCACTGGGATCACAGGGTGTGCCACCACATCCAGCTGGGTGGTTAACGAGTCTCACTGATGCACCATTCTACCTCTGATCAGAGGAAAATCATTCCTTTTACCCTTTCCTTTTCAACATGATCTAAACTGGTTTTCTCTAAAATTTTTTATAATTAGCTAATTTCCTTGGGGCCTTACAAATTTAGGGTGATTTCTCTTCCCATCTCCAAACTAGCAAATACAAGTACGTCTAAATAACAGCGAACAGAGATATTTAATACCAGTCCTGTTCCATTCCCTTTAAAGTGAAAAGCAGAAAGACCTTCCCCAGGATTCACCAGATGATTTTCAGATACCACTCCAAAAGGAACTCTCCACTACAGGTCAGTCAGACAACCCCACACAACCTCAACAATCAAATCCTACCCCATCGTGATCTGTCACTCATCCCAAACTGAATAGGGAAGCCCAAAATAACAGTGTCACCTCCTAAGACTATGATTATTGAAACAGCTTCTAGCTAAATTATGTGCACATTTTAAATCCATCTGGACAGAAGCTACCACCACACGACCAAAGAGAATCACAAAAATGCTCCCTGGAGCAGGTGAGAACTGTCCCTCAGCTAGATCTGAGGAATGACCAAATGATTCAATGATACTAACTAGCACTGTTGGTAGCTCGCAGGATGGCTCCTTGAGGGATCAGCAGCAGTTTTCCTTTCCCTGAAGGGTTCTTGCTGTTCGTGGTAAGGTACAGTTTAGTGCCTGGAGGCAAATTTGCCAGGTTGGCCAAATTAGTGGCTGGTAGCTGCAATGTTGCCATCACTAAAATGATTAAGAGAGAAAAGGTGGAAAAACAGTCCGATTATTAGATCTATCAGCAATACTCTAAAATCAAAATACAGAGTAATAAAGTACTTAATTTTAAAACACTAACAAACAGCAAACTGAAGTTTGTTTCCTAGATGCTTCAGATATTCTTAAATATCTTGCTAATTAAAAAATAATTAAGACACTAGTAGCACCTACCACAAACCAATTTATATTGTATATAAACAGGCTGATCAGTTGCTAGAACAGTTCTAGTTTACACCTATGTTCATTGTAATTATTTTTACTAATTCTGGATACTGAATCCAGGGCCTCACACATGCTAAGCATGCTCTACCACTGAGCTACACTCCCAAGCCTCTCATTGTAATTATTATTAATATAGTGACTTTTTACTATCAAAAATACTGTGATTTACATAATTAATGAAATACTCTATCTATGGATGAACACACATTTTCCTCCATTTGTTTAATGTTCCTTTAGTCAGTTTCTAGTAAGAGATGAATTTACTAATTTAAAACAAGACTTCCAGCCTCCCTTATTTTCCGAGAACTAAGAAATGCTACAGTCAGTCAATGCTGGCACATTATTATGAAACCCTAATTCATCTTTTTAAAAGTCTGGTCTAAGTCAAAGAGCTTTTACTTACTCCTTAAATTTTACTTATCTATGCACAATGGCTATAAAACCTCTACAGGAGTCTTAAAAGGGATTGAGATATAAAATTTTCTGCAGTTACTTTAAATCAATAAAATCTCCATGATGCAATGTATAGAAACACATGGGTCAGTCATAGAGAAAGGATCAGCTTCCCCCAGCCTGCTGGAGTAGTTCTTATCCTCACTACCCTTGCTGTGAAGCTCCGGGATCCAGGAACCCTGGAAGCTGCCCCCAGATATTAGAGACCACAGCTAGCTCTAAAACCTTTCTATTATTAACAGAACTCAACAGTGCCATCTCAATTTCAGTCAGTGCCAGAAGTCACCCAGCATGGCATGGCAGTTCCTGATCTGATTTCCTCTTCCCTCCTAGCTCTTTGACCAAGTGGCCCTGGAATTCCTGCTGTGATCATAACCTTCCTCAACCTTTTTGTGGTAATTAAACATGTCAGCCTCTTTATCTAGGGGCTAGTCATCTTACCTTAACATGTGAAGACTAGGCCCCTGGAGGGGAGCCTTTGTACTCTGTAGTTGGGCTTTCAGACCATTACCACCCCTCACTCCTGAAAAAGCCTGTTTTTTTGAGGCTCACTGCAGGCTCACCCACTGTTGCTATCATTTACCAAACTCCCAGTCACTCCCTACACTAAAGACTAGAATTCTCAGTGAACACTAGGGATGACTTATTTATTCTCCGGCTTCTCATCTGCTTCATCTTCAACTCCAAAGGTCATTCCTTTCAATCTATCTCATGCATTCCCCCCAACCACTTGCTGGAGATTGAATCCCGGGCATTTGCACATGCTAGGCAAGTCATCTACCACTGACCTATATCCCCAGTCCTTTTTGAGAAAGGATCTTCCTAACTTGCCCAGGCTAACCTTGAACCTGTAATCCTCCTACCTCAGCCTTCTGAGTAGCTGGGATTAGAGACATGTGCCACCATGCTTAGCTCATGCATTTATTTTTAATGCCACAATGTGAACTCTGCTATCATTAGCAGTGCACCACCTATGAAATTTCTATTTTGGATATGCATTACCTTCCAACCTCCCAATTGACTACAACAATTCTTTGGCCTCACCAAGACCTTAAAAATTAACAAACATCTAATGTCATATATATATGTTTTTTGCCCTCACAGAACTAACACATCAAAGGTTAACATGTGTTTGTGTTCAAACTTCTATTTGATAGATATCTATTAAGTTGGGTATCTCAAAATGTTGCTGGATATAATCGGACCAGGATTTTAAGACTGAAACATAACCCAAAGTGAGGATGAGGACAGATGAAAATTGTCCTTTAGACCTGAAAGTAGTATCAAGAAATAGCCTCTATTTTTATTCTTCTTCCATGTATATCATGCATATTATATATAAAAATATAAATAACAGATATAATAAAACTTAAAAGCAAACTACTTACAAACCTCTATATAAAAAGTTTCATTAAAAGGAACATTTTTATACACTTCTTATAGTCTCAACCTGACAGAATTTCCCAGTCAGAATCAAATAACAAATAAAATCACTAGCAATGGAAATTTTGGACAGCGATGCTGCTGAAAGAGACCCAATTAGGATCAGTTACCTGAGCCCTGGGATCCACTCTTCGGAGGGCCAGCGGCAGTGACCTGAGCCTTGGTTAAAGTCTGGACTGGCTGAGCAACAATGGTTCCTCCACCTCCACTCACAATTGCTTTGGCAACTCCTTGGGTCACAACTTGCTTTGGACCAACTGCTTTGGCGACAGAAGAGCTGGCCTTGGCTACAAGGATCTGGCCACCACTGATTGCCACAGCCTGCTTCACTGCTGAAGGTAAGGCAGACCCTACCGGCACCCCAACAACCTGTTCAAAACAGAGGAGAGTCCAGCAGTGCTTCTTCTCATAGCCCCTGCGAGAGCTCTGGGAACAGAGGAGCCACTCTGTTCTAGCAAAGAGCAAAGCAAAAGCCTGGATATGACACACAGAGTCTAATTCAGTCCTCCAGCAAGGCTGCTTGGACAGATATAAAACGACAACATTTCTTACATTTTGGATACTGTAATAATAAAAGCTTACAGGCTGTTATCCTAACCTCAACTACTTTCTAGAACTTCCTCTGACTATAAAATAATACGAGATTTTTAATAGAAAATCTAGGAAGTAAAAAGAAAAAGCTCTACACAACCAGAAATAGTCTCTTAATATCTTTAATATATATACTTCCAATTCCTCCTAATATATATTTTAAAAAACAGGATTGGGATCACACTATACATATAGTTTTATGTTTATTATCCAACATTTTCCATTATTATAAGGATTTTCCAATGTTATATTTCAAGAACATTTTTATATTGAGCAAAATAATAACATTTGAATAATATACGACAATCTATGTAAACATTTCATTACTATTAGAAATTCAGGTAATTTTAAAATTCACATTATGAAAATTATATAAATAAAGATTTTCATGTAGGAACCATAAACTCCACTAGATATTTTTAAAAATCATTTTTTTTCCAGTGGCCTCTTCTATATTATCCCCATCTGAAATAACCATTTCTTCTTTCCATCTCTAGAATTCCTAACAACACATGTCATTTGTTATATGGCCTCTTCCAACTGAGCTGTAAGAAGAGTTACCTCTTTCTCTCCCAGTGCTGGGATTAAACCCAGCGTCTCCTCCATGCTAGGCTCTACCACTCAATTACACTCCCAGCCCAGAAAAGTTATGTTTTTCTGTCTCTTTCTAGTCTTTCTTCTCCTTAAAGTTACATTTGATTCAAAAGGAAAAGCTTAAGCAAAAATAATATTTAATTGATTTTTTTTTAAAAAGACCCTATGACCCAAATAATAAAGTTAAGAACTATCTGGTTTTCAAAGTAAAGTGAATTCTTTTAATTAAGAAAATATTACACAGGTAAACAAAGCAAACTGCAGGATGTTAAGTTAGAACAAACAATTTAATTGATGGCAAACTGAGTCAGTGTTTGCCATTCCCCAGCTCTGTATTTCATAAAAGAACTGATCAGAAACTAGATGAAAAGACTCATAAAGGTTATAAGAAATGCAAACAATCTTCCTTCTAAAGGCAAAAAAGATAGTAGATAGATAGTACTTTTCACCCATCAAACTGGTAGAGAAAAAGTAGTTCTTAAAAAGTCTTAATAACATCAAGAATTGCTAGAGAATATGATGAAATAGGAACTTTTTGTTCACTGATCACAGAAAGATAAATTTGTACAGCCATTCCAGAGAGACACTGGCTATCTACTAAAATTGAAAATTCGCATACCCTACGTAGGAAGAATTCTACTTTTAGGAATATAGAAACCTGAATATACAGAAATTTTAAACATGTGCTCAAGGAAACTTATACAGGATGTCCAAGGTAGTATTATTTGTAATTACAAAAAAACTATTGGCAACTTTAAGGTTTACAGCATATAAGAACATTCTTAATGCCTACAGACAGAGGAAGAGACAATGGAATATCTATCACACACAATTAAAAACGGATCAATGAGACCTACATAGGTCTGCATAAACAGACTTTAAATGATACATACTGAGTGAAAAGGCAATTGCAAAAACCCACAAGTATCTCTTATGAAATCTTCAAAATACAAACATCATGTTTTCCATGGCTATATATTTATGCAAGGAAAGTATGGACTAAAAGACTACATATCAATTTCATGATAGTATCATTTCTTGGAAGAACAAAGTGAACTTGACATCAATCATGTTCTATTTGGGAAAAAAAGATCTGAATATGAATATGCTAATTCAGAGGATATGCAAATGCTTATAGTACTTTGTATATTTTATTGAAATTTTAGATCCTCTTTAAAAAATAAGATTATTTAGGAGGTAGAATAAAAGTATATACCATATACAACTGATGAATGGGATGCTCTAATTAAGTAATTACTATATTACAATATAGTAATATGACATTATATAGTATATATTAATACATTATAATTGTATATACAGCATATTACTATAATTGTAATATATACTAATATATATTTGCCATGTGTCTGGATGATATGACTGACGTAAAGAAAATGATCCCCTAACCAACTAATTAAACCACAGTGTAGCAGAAGAAAGTGTATATAGGTTTCTGTAAGCAGAGAGACCTGGTTTCCTTGTTTAAGTCCATCAGCAGCTAGCTGGGTAAGTTATTTAACCACTTTGAGCTTTCGCACTAGTCCTCTTATTTATAAAATATGGGTAATATTTGCCCCACAAAATCAGGAATGAGAATTAAGTACAAAATGCCCAGCTAACATGAGAGCTGCTGCTAACATGAACTCTTGCTATTAACAGATATGACACATTTAATCTAAGAACCTTATAAAATGATATCCCAAATTGGCCATAGGAGGGCAGTCTTGACTAACAGAGCTTATCCAATATGTGCACACCACTCATAAGATGACCCCTCACCCCGACACCATTTGTTCTGGAAAACTGAGAATGGGAAAGGCTGCATGATTTTGGGAAAAGTTCTATGCACAGCTGATGATAGATACTACAAAGGAGAAAGGGTCCTTAAGCAGTACATCATAATCCCAAGCTAGTTCTTCAGTTTTTAACAAAACAACATTTTAGCCTAGAACCTAAACTTACCTACCACTCTCCTCTTCCCATTCCACAATACTTCTCTGGGTATTGCTAATTTCCTTCTAGCTTTACAAAACAACTAGAAGGAAATTACACCTTTGTTCTGTATTTGTTGTTATTCTATTTCTACCCTGTGAACATAACTTTGGCAAGTGAGAATTTAGCATTCTAAAGGGGAAAATTTGTCCAAGGTAATAATATTATTTGTAATTACCAAAAAAAAAAAAAAAAAACTATTCGCAACTTTAAGGTCTATAGCACGTAAGAACATTCTTCTATATGTGATTTTTGCCTCTAGATATTCAAAACTACAGCCAACTGTGCTCAATAATAATTGTTACCATGGTATTGTACATAGGTACACATGACATTCATATCAGATGTTCTTTACTGAGCATGTGTTCTCTGCTAGGTCCTTTACATATGACGCTCTCTCATTTTCCTAAGCTCTGAAAGACAAGAGGTCTTTCACTAGATGAAGAAACCAGAGTTCACAGAGATTAACCACGTCACACAAGTAATGAGTAGTTACTAGTAATTTCAAAGCTCACGGTCTTTTTAGCACACCACACTGCTTTCTTCCCATGTGGAATTTACTTATTCCTCAGCTGTCACTTTTCATGTTGAAGGTAGCACTTCCCTTTTTTTCTTTTTTTAATTGTTTCTTTTCAGTTACACATGACAGTAGAGTCCATTTTGATATCATTGACAAGCAAGGAATATACCTTATTCTAATTAGGATCCCACTCTTGGTGAAATTCACAGTGGCATATTCATATGTGTGCATCGGTAAGTTATGTCACATTCATTCCACTGTCTTTCCTATTCCTATCCCACCACTGTTCCCTTCATTCCCCTTTCTGTAATCCACTGATCTTTTTTTCTTCCCACTCCCCATCCTGCCATTGTGGACTTAGTTTCATCTATCACAGAAAACATGGTAAGAAGAGTTTCTATTGTGCCAAAATGATATGGAAGAACAATGATGACATTTTCCACCCTCCTGTTTTCAGGCACAGTTTCAAGGAATGTACTTCAGCAATAACCAAGGATGGTATTACCTTGCAGACAGCTCATTATCTCCTAAATATCCTGGGTAAACAGTGGTGGCTTTTCTCATGCTCCCTTTCTTCTTTGCTATTCTTTCACTCTGCTGTGACACTTCTTCCCAGGTGCCCTTAAGCCTTACTCAGGGCATTTTAGCACAAATCTGTTTTTTCTTAGTCTTATGTTACCATTAGGTACATAGCCATGTGACAAGACAGAATGTCTGCTCAGCATTACTGGATGAGTGGAATGGTCTGAAGTCAGCACACATGGATTTAAACCCCTGTCACTCACTAGCTGTACGCTCTTAGGAAGCTGCCATGCTTCTCAGTCATGATTTATTTCTGCATTTGTAAAATAAGGATGAAAATAGCCCAGCACGGTGGTGCACACCCATAATCCTAGTGACCTGGGAGGCTGATGCAAGAGGATTGAAAGTTTGAGGCTAGCCTCAGCAACTAAGTAAGAATCTGTCTCAAAATAAAAAATGAAAAAGACTGAGGATATGGGTCAGTGGTTAAGAGCCACACCCTATTCTAATCCCCAGCACCACCAGAAAAAAAAGAGCCACACCCTGGGTTCAATCCCTGGTACTCCTTCCCCTAAAAAAAGAGGGGGGTGAAAATACCCACCTTGCAGGGTATTTAAAGATTACAGGTAATATATAAATATGAGCCTGACACAAAAAGCATTCAATAGATATTATTTCTAATCAATGTAGGAAAATATGGAACTGAGGGCCATTTTACATTTCTCCTGATTCATTAATTCCACCATATCTCCACACAGTAAGGAATATTAACACTTTAAAGAACCAAGAAATCATCAAATAGATCAGTCTGGACATAGAGGTGTAATCAGAAACAAACCAGTGGTCCCATCTCAGATCTGAATAGGTAGAAAGCTGTGCATGTGAAGCCAGTCACCTCTGCTGCCAGAGAGAGGACACAGCTTTCCTTTGCCTCTTGGGCTATTCCTGGACCCTCTACAATACATGCTTCAACTTTCGTCATGGATACTAGTGGAGCAGATGGGATTATCATCAACTGACTTGCTTTGCAACTGGGCTGCTATTCAGATTCTTACGGGATCAGCAACCCTGTCAATCTGAATCTTTTTGGCATTTATTAATTATTTATACAATATTCACTTACATGTTGACCTCCCAATCTCTACCCAACACAAACCTTGGAGGGTTGAATCTTTGGTGACTGAGTAGTCCCTTCTCCAGCAGTAATGACTTGTTTTTGGGGCGACACAGCTATCATGTGACCCCCTTTCACAGTCACATACTGAGGAAGTGGCGACTGGCTCGAAGCTCCTGTTGTGGGCACATGAGGGGCTTCACCAGGTTCCTGTTTGATGATCACCTTGTAACAAACATGACAATGACACTGAATTAATATCCCATGGGAAAAAAAACTAGCATCTGAATAGATTCTGTTTGCAGGGATTAATGAATCAATGAAACTTGTTCTGGGTAGAAAGATTACTGAGAAGGGTAAAAAGACTGCTTAAATACAGTATACAAAAGCTACTAAAGGGACCAAAAGGCCAAGAGCAGTGGTACATGCATATAATCCTAGCTACTTGGGAGGTGGAGGCAGGAGGATCTCAAGTTTGAGGCCAGCCTGGTCTCAAAATGCTGTCTCAAAATAAAAAATAAAAAGGGCTGGGAGTATAGCTCAGCAGCACAGAAACTGCCTAGTACACTTGAGACCCTGAACTTGACCCTGTGCTTCCGTCATTTGTTTTAGAGATTAGTAGAAAAATAGCACTAAAGAGAAACAACCTAGTTTGTGCTCTCTGAATTCCCTATCTTGCTGGACTCCAAGGAAGTGGGTATCAGTAAATAAATAGAAACATGTACCAGAACTAAGATCTGGTTTCAGAGTTGAAACATACTAGAAAGTAACATGTTGTAGAGGTAGTCTCAATCAATTCTAACATGCCACAAAAAGAATTATGTAATAAGACCATACAGACTCAATACTCACTTTTGTGAAAGCTCCAAGTCCTCCAGTAATAGGTTTGGGGCTCTGAACCTTAGGGTGACTCCCAATTGGGCAAAGAGGTGGCATAGATGCGAATAAAGAATCCTCTTGCTGTGTGTATATAAATACATATTATGCAATCAAGTCAAAAAGAGTGATTTCAGAAATTCTAAGTCATCTACATTTAATACAAACTGTGATGCTCTGTAGCAACATAAACAATCAAAAGACAAGACAAAAACAAAAAAACAAAACCCCCAAACTCTTAGGGATTTTCCAAGCCTCTATTTCTATATTTTAATCTTGTTTTAAAAACCAAATGCAAAGAAAAGCTACAACTTAGCAAAGCTACTCAGATGTATCCTGCTGCTGCTGGGGAGACTCCTACGCTACACCTTCAGCTTGCATGCCTAGCGCCCGCCAGAGAATAAACTATTAAAGGACAGGCACTGCATTTTATTCTTTTCTATTTAGCCAATTCACTAAATAAATTAATGGTTGAAACAGGTAGTTGTTTTAATATATGTTCTCTTAACATAACTTCACTTGATTTGTGAAATTCATTCAATACTTAGAATACAAGGGAAATTTTTTCAGTAAGGACTTACTAAAAAAATGTGAAGAACTTAATTAGTATACGCAAAGACATCTTTACAATGTCGGCATTCAGAACTACTGTAGATGGTCTCTAATTCTCAAAGACAAAATGCCAATCTCAGAGGCAATTTGCCATATTTAGAATTTTAAGAAAAAGAAACAAAAGTTAAGAATATTTCTTGACTGTGTAATAAAAAGATCATCAACAAACATCAAAAATAAACTGACAAGAGTTAAGACCTTCAAGGAAATTAATATTGTTCAGATATTCATCTACATGCTACTTGCACACTGCACAGAACTTAGGGGAAACCAGCTTTGGGCCAGGAAACTATTCAAGATTATCATTACCATGTGTCTAAATATAAGAATTATGTTCAGCACACATCATGTAAGAGACAACCTCACATTCTCACGGTTTTTCAGATAGGAGTTGATACTCAAATGCTTCAGATTTAAGGGAGCCCTAACAGGGAAGCTGGGTAGTTTAACCACACAGTGGGGAAGTGTCTTTGCCAAATGGTGAGTGGATATTTAGCACTGTGATCTGAACAAGTCAGATCATTTGGAGTTCCAAAATTCTGAAGGACTATTCACTCTGAAGAGGAAGGGAAAAAACTTGTGGAGGTAAGAATTATTCTCAAATAACTAAAAAACTAACATGTACAAGACGAAATATTTCTATTTTTGGTAGTCCAAACATGAAAAAATGAAAGGTGTCAGACAAATATTTTTGTAAGAAAATAGTTTTTAAAAAGTCATCTCCAGGGGCTGGGGTTGTGGCTCAGTGGTAGAGTGCTCGCCTAGCACGCATGAGGTACTGGGTTCCATCCTCAGCACCACATAAATATAAAATGAAGATATGTGTCCACCTAAAACTAAAAAATAAATATTAAAAAAAAGTCATCTCCATCAAAACATAAATAAGTAAGGTCACCACCTCACCACACTGTTTTCAAATTGAAATGGGTAATTATTTGATAGAAATGTTCAGAAGCATTTTCTACACTAGGAAAAGACCAAGGTGAGGTAGTAGAGTCTGCAGTAGATGACCTTCAAAATAGTTATCAGCAAGAAGAGCCTAATTTGTGAAATCTGCATCATCAGCTGACACTCTTGCCAAGGCTGTGTACACTGTCTGTACAAACTAGCAAAGTGCAATGCATACGAGAGCTTTACCTTGACTGTAGATGTTACAAAACTACTTCCATGAATTTTAGGAACAGGGGAACCTGTTCCTTGGGAGACCTGAGAAGCTGTGGGGAGCTTGTTTGTAGGACTTCCTGTAAGCAGGGCAGATTTAAAAATGAAATACAAGGTAAAATTTACAAAAGTAATTTTAAACCATTTTCCACCACCCTCCTCTCTTTGCCATTACTTATTTTTCATTTTTAAGGGTTGAATACTTATAACCCTGAAACTTTTAAGGGAAAAAAAGACTTAAGAATTCAGAGACAAAGTTGACCACAAATTCAATCTACAAAGAAATAAGAAGTTAGTAAGTACGAAGAGAAGAAAAAGTAAAGTACACATTATATACTCTACTCCTTACATAAGAAGAGACACAACAACATAACGGTATTGGTCTTTTAACAAATGGGCCAGAATACAAAAATTCAAGTAATGTCAGCTTCTACAAAGTAGTTTCATTAGAGATTATACCTAGTGAAACTACTTTGTATAATGTCTTAGTCTACCCTAGAATGCTGCCTACATTAAACATTTTATGCTTTGCCTGTGCAACTGTCTGCAACTATGTGAGTCTGATGAAAGTAAGTCACATTATTAACAGTCAACAAGTTGAGACCTAAAATGGTATTCAATCACCTACTCCATTTCCAAAACTACCTCTAAAGATTTGTGGCTGATTCCCCAAACTAAGCATCCTGAAAATATATATATATTTAACATTCCTAAATATGTTCAAAAAGGTATTAGGTAAGCCCGGAAAGCAGTATTTTTTTTTTTTTAAAGTTCTGCAATTAAAAATCATTATGGTACTTATTTAGCTTTTCAAAAAACAAACAAAACCATATAATAATGTGCATTAAATCCAAAAGATTAAATTAAAAAAAAGCCTCATTACTTTATAATCATCCTTTTTTATCTCATTTCTCTTTTCCTGTTTCCCTACATCAGTGAAATTTACAGATAGGAACATGTGTATTTATAGAGGGTAAGTGAAGGGAATAAATAAAACAATGTTAGTAAAAGAACATCAAAAAAACTGAAAAGCACTATGCAGTCATATGCCATTGTGAAGACAAATATGGTGACTCCAAAGACTTGCTCTTCCTACTAGTATTCTCTTTTTATAACTACAGGTTTCAATTTTCCTCCCAAAGAAAAATGTGTCTTATTTGAAGATAAGTAAATATCAAGTTGCTTGGGAAGAAATGTGTATGGTACACAAAACTATCACTGTACTAAAAGTTTAACCTGGAAAAGTCTGGGGCATTTACTTGTATTCCCCCAAAAGAACAAGAATTTCATTTCTAAATGAAAAGAAAATCAATTATTTCTTTAAAGAAAATTAATGATGGCTCATTACTTTTCATTCCTAAAATGTACCTGTACAAAAAACAAATCTACCCTCAGAGACAGTACTGATGTTACTTTATATAGTCTTTTTTAATGGATGGAAATTTTATTTTCCTATCACTTGGCTATCAAGTCATGCTAGGACTTAGTCTTTAATAAAAGATCAAATCCTCTGGATTGCACAAATATTGGCCATATACACACCTGTACTAGGAGTAGAGGCTCCAATCACCTGCCCAGGCTTATCCATGATAACGTAAGGATTATTTATAACAGAGCTGGCAGGGCCTTGCTTCACATGGACTGGTGTGGAGGTTGGGGTTCGAGGCAATGGTGATGGACTTGGCGTTGATATTGGAGAACCTTTATTAATGAAAAAGAGGAGAAAAGCAAAGCACGTTTAGTCAGTCTAAGGTAACAAGTCAGGATGAAAAAACGGGACTGTATGCTTGTGGTGCTGAGCAGCAGCAGTGATAGTATAGCTGAGGTCAGGAAGTACTGTGATCCACTACATACCCTAATCTGCAAACCAGCAACATCAGCATTATTGGAGAACTCATTAAAAAAAGATTTCAAGGTCTATCCCAGGCCTACTGGATATAAATCTGCATTTTAACAAGATCCTCTGGAATGCACATTAAAGTTCAAAAAGCAATGCTTTATGTGACAGTGGAACTGGAACTGCAATTATCTCGGCATGAAGATTCTCTCAACGTCATAGGTGGGTGTTATACTCAAAACACTAAAATCAGAGAGAAAACTAGGAAGTAGTTTTCTAGGAACCTGCTGTTTTAATTCACAATTAATTTTTAAAAGAAAAATATGAAATTCACCTACTCCAGACAAAAATCTGTCAATACTATGTCAAAGCCACAATCCAGGAAGATTCATGTTCCCACAGAGCACTCTCAAAGGGTAGTCATGAACAAACATCCTCAACTGCCTTGTTGATCAAATTTGCCACCTGCAAATTTCTCTAAACTTCAAATCAACTTCTGTGTTCAGTCTATTCCAACTTGGAAGCAGCAGGTTCCAAATCCAAGCTGGAAGGTGAAATTTACCTTAAATCAATTCAAAGATTTTATCTATTTCAAAGATATGGACCATATTCTGCTTAGCTGTCCATGTATAGCAGTAGAGACTCCTGTTTTTCCTCTTTCATTTAAGCATTATATGCAAGTGCTCTCCCTGTTTAATGTTTCAATCACCCCTTTCATGGCTCTTTTTTTTTTGGGGGGGGGGGGGCAGTGAACCCAGGGATTGAACTCAGGGGCACTTGACATACTGAGCCACATCCCCAGCCCTATTTTATATTTTATTTAGAGACAGGGTTTCACTGAGTTGCTTAGTGCCTCTCCATTGCTGAGGCTGGCTTTGAACTCAGGATCCTTCTGCCTCAGCCTCCTGAGCCACTGGGATTACAGACACGCACCCCTCACATCCAGCTTTCCATGTCTTTTCTGAAGTGGTAGAGAGAAAGCCATAAAGTGTATTTCTACTAAAAGTTCATAACTTTTAACATAAATGTGAAACTTCCACAAGGCAAAAGACAATCAAAATTTAGTGAAAGGGAAGTCTCAGATACTATTGATAATAGGAATGAATAATTTGCTTGTGTGGTTATGGAGACAACAGAAGGTATCTCAATTCCAACACTTAAAGCTTAACCTCAAGCCAAAAGGCCTCTAAATTTTTTCTATTATTAATTACTTTGGTTTTCACTTAGAATCCCCAAACTCAATTTCTACCTTGATTTCAGCCAGGTTACTCTATCAAAATTTTACCTGTGCTAACTTTAGGAGACTAAAATTTGACCATTTTGAGTTTCATTTCTTCATCCCATTAAAGAATTCTCATATAAATAAGTTGTGTGTATGGTTATTTATTTAATTATTTTGCTTTGTGGCAGCTGTGCTAATCAATAGTGAGATAGGAAAAGAAACACAAATACTACTTAGAAGAACTTCACTCCAACCCTTCTACCATCCAGCCACCTTTACACACATCGTCTTCAACACATCTCCTGTATACCTGAGACAATCTTGCAGCTCATGGTGATGGGCTGGAAGGATTTTCCAGGTGACTCAGGATTAGGAACCTGACTTTGTGGCACAATTTTGCAGCTTGATGCTATTGGCTGGAAAGCTGAATTGCCATGAGAACAAAAGGTAATTTTCTGGGATGTCACTTTGGTGGGTGTTCTTTCCAATGAAGATGGCAAAGAATAAAATGTAGTGTGTCTCTCAGCTTCAGTGTTGGATGGGAATCCTGTTTGAAATTTAGCAGGCAAATAATAAGTCATCAATCATTTTGAAATAGCAAAACCTTACCACTGTGGCAAAGAATAAAAAAAAAATCAGTATATTATTCATATATTTTAATACCTATTTATACAAATTACTGATGGTAAAATAAATATAATCAATTACCCATTTATACTTTTTTTGGTGGAAGGTATCATGCTTAGAATCCTATTTAGTTAAAATGCTTCTGTTATGAAATTAGAAATTGAGGGCTAGGGATGTGGCTCAAGCGGTAGCGCGCTTGCCTGGCATGCGTGTGGCCCGGGTTCGATCCTCAGCACCACATACAGACAAAAGATGTTGTGTCCACCGAAAACTTAAAAAAAAATAAATGTTAAAAAAAAAGAGAGAGAGAGAGAGAAGCGCTCCTGGCGTCAAAAAAAAAAAAAAAAAAGAAATTAGAAATTGAGGCTGTGGTTGTGGCTCAGTGGCAGAGCACTTGCCTATAATGTGAGGCACTGGGTCCTCAGCACCACATAAAAATGAATAGAAAAATAAAGGTATTGTGTCCTTCTACAACAACAAAAAATTTAAAAAAAATAGAAATCATTAACTTTAAACCACATATAAAAGCAAAAGTTTGTTATGTTCTTGCATTTTTTAATATATGAAATTAAAAATTGTTTAAATTAGAAAAGAGGAAAAACTAAAAAAGAAACCATTCATTTAATCTAATGATGTCTGATCTCATTAATGCTCAGAAAGAGGATGCAATTAAACTCTAAAGAAAAAATAGGCCAACATTTTATAAAAGAATTAAAACATTAACATCACATTAAAATACAGGCTTAGAGATAAAACTAACACCCTTTAGAATAAATTGTACACCTTATATGGTTACATATGTGAACACTTAAAATATGGTAATTATGGGGCTGGGATTGTAGCTCAGTGGTAGAGCACTTGCCTCACACGAGTGAGGCCCTGGGTTCAATCCTCAGCACCACATAAAAATGAATAAATAAAAAATAAAGATACTGTGTCCATCTACAACTAAAGAAATATTTTTTAAAATATGGTATTTGTGTACTTACATATTTATTAAATAAAAATACCATGGATTTTTTTTGATGTTGGAACATTATTTTAACTAAGATTAAATATTTAATATTCAAGTATTCTGTTAAAACAATCAGAAGCTGAATCAGAGATTTTTAGCAAAGGATAAAAATCTAATTTTTTTGGTGACACCTGCTTTTTATGTCAGTAGCACTTTATGGGGGAAAAATGCTTCTGAGAGGAGCAGAAATTTTGATATTTCCTTGATAGAACTGTGTAATACTGGCAGCATGCCTATTTATGAAAATTTAATTTCCATATTCTCTTAAGTCACTGAAGGCAGAAGTTTTATACTGTGTTGTACAAATGAGAAAGAATGGCCCCAGAGAGACCCCATACAAGGAAGACTGCAGCATTACCTTTCTCCACAGAGGTATCGGTTACTGGCTCGAGGGACTGCTTTATTGGTGAAGAAGCTTTTACTGGGGCTGGAATGGTCAAAGGCAAAGATGGAGGGGCATCGGAGATGTCCGACTCGGAGGACTGGGGGTAAACGCAGTCTTCTCCAAGAGAATGCCGATGGAGTTCAACGTCCACTACCTACACAATTGGACAACACCCTTTAGAATAAATTGTACACCTTATATGCTTACATATGTGAACACTTAAAATATGATAAGTATGGGGCTGGGGTTGTAGCTCAGTGGTAGAGTGCTTGAGCTACCATTGGGCTGATGAATCCACCATTGGGGTCACAGAATACTCCAGTCCTGTCCTAGAACATGTGACAAACAACTTCTACTTGCACCTCAAAGTCAATTTCCATTTCAAGAACTGAAGAATTTATCTTAGAATGTAATGTAGTCTGGCTTCACAGAATACCTTCAGTGAAAAACCTTTCTATTTGCTGTTTCTACTCCTTAGAACCATACTTCCTCCAAATCTTTGCATGGTTTTCTCATCAGTAGATCTCAATCAAATGTCACCTTTTCAGAGAGATCTTCCACAACCACCTTAGCATATGCAACTCTCTTGTCCCCCAGCTACTCTCTTCTTCAAAGTACTTATTTGGAACTGAAATTGTTATTTGCTTTGTGTTTACTGCCTACTCTCCTCATTCTCCAAATTACGAAGAATGTAACTCCCTAAGAGTAAAAAACTATCTTGTTCATTTTTGTATTGCCAACACCTGGACCAGTGCATAGGTTATAGTAGTTGCTCAATAAATGTCTCCTGCTAATAATATAGTCCGTTTCTCTAGATAAAGATTTGACTACTAATTTTGATTATAATAGTTACTGTGGATATTATATAATAAAAACAAAAATGGGGAAGAGGGTAGAGAAAAAAGAGATCTCACACTTCCTGATTTTAAAATTTATTACAAAGTTGTAGTAATCAAAACAGTATGTGCTGGCATACAGACAGACACACAGAACAACAGAATAGAACAAAACCTCACATGTATGACCAAATGATCTTCCACAAAGGTTCCAAGATCATTCAATAAGGGAAAGGACAAAGTCTTTCCAGAAAATAGTGCAAGAAAAGCTGGTTATTCACATGCAAATGTAGTACCTCACTTTCTCTCTATATAAATTAACCCCAAATAGATCAATGACCTAAAGACAAAAGCTAAGATAATAAAACTCTTAGAATAAAACAGGAAAAGCACCATGACACTGGATTTCACAATGGTTTCTTGGATGTGACACCAAAATCACAAGAAAAAAACCCAAGAAACAAACAACAAACAAAACACAACAAGTAAATGGGACATCAAACTAAAAACTTTTGTAGAGAAATGAATCACAGGATGGGCATCAATACTTGCAAATTGTGTGTTTGATAAGTGATTAATGTTCAGAATATATAAAGATAAAGAACTCCTACAGCTCAAAACAGCAAAAGCAATCTGGTAAAAAACAGGCAAAGGACTTGAGTAGACATTTCTCTAAAGAAAATAAAATGGCTAAATACTGTATTTCACCACATAATTGTCACATCCTGTTTTTTTCAATGTAAAAACTGGTTTATAACCTTACATTGTGCAATTGTTGCATGGAATTAATTTTGTTCTTCATGCTGCTTAAAATGTAAACAGAGCAGCAAGGCAGTCACCAGAGGCACAGGAATGCACATTTGTCTTCTTGCACACTGCCAGCCATGGGCCTGGGATTCTCAACGCACACTCACTGCCAGCATATTTTAAAAGTCCACTTGCATGGTTTGTTTAGAGAACTGCAGTGCCAAAGGTAAACACACCTTACAGGTGGCACCAAAGACAGCTCATCAGATAACAAAACCAATGATAGAGGCACAGAATCTTCGGACAGAAGACTAAAATTTATACATCCATACTTGACAACACTACAGTAAATTTTCTCAAGTGTAATATTTCGTCTATAATGCACAAATCAATAAAAACTAATGTTTAACTTTTTTTTTTCAGACTGGAAAATGTTACTAAACTGATGTATATCTATTTGGACTGTTCAATTTTAAAGTATATTCACAAATGTTCCCTGCATCCTAATCTTGCATCAAATACAGTTTAACAATACATGATTTTAAGTAATAATGGCACAATTTTTTTTTTTTTAAGTTTCACATAATGGTTACAACCACACTCGTGCTCTACCACTGAGCTACAACCCCAGCCCCTACACCATGCTCTTTTGAAAAAGAAAAAGAAAAAAAAAAAAAAAAAAAGCATAAAATATGTGATGATTATAAGGTAAGCCCATGAAAAAGATATTCAACATCACTAATCACTAGAGAAACACAGCTCAAAAACCACAAAATACCACTTCATGACCATTAGAAAAGCTACTAGAAACTAAAAATCAGAAAACAACAAGTATTGATAAAATATGGATAAAAACAAACTCCATACTTGCGGAGGAATATAAAACGATGCAGCTGCCATGGAAAATATAACACGGTGTTTCCTTAAAAACTAAAATAGCACTAGCAAATGATGCAGCAATTCCACATCTACATATATCCCCAAAAGAACTGAAAAGGGGGATTCATCAATTTTTCTTTGTTGGTACTGGGACTAAACACTGGGATGCTTTACAATTGAGCCACAATCCTAGTCCTTTTTAAAATATTATTTGTTTTTATTAGTGCATTATAGTTTTACAGAGTTGTGGGGTTCACTTTGACATATTCACAAATGCAAATATCAATCCTCATTTGTTCCATTTCAATCCCTAGTTCTACCCCCGCCCTTGGTTTCTATTTTGAGACAGGGTCTCCTTAAATTAAACTTGTAATCCTCCTGCTTCAGCCTCCAGAGTCGCTAGGATTACAGGCATGGGATACCATGCCCAGTGAAAAAAGGGATTCAGTTATCTGTACATCCATGTTCATAAGAACATTAGTTATGATAATCAAAAGACAGAAGCAACCCAAATGTCCATTGATGAATGACTGAATAAACAAAAGGTCATATATAAATATGATAGAATATTCAGCCTTAAAAAGGAAGGAAGTTTTGACACTTGCTACAACATAGATGAACACTGAGGACATCATGCTAAGTACAATAAAGGCAACCACAAAAGACAAGTACTAAATGATTCCATTTATAAAGTACCTGGAGTAGCCAAATTCACAAAATAGAATGTGTTGCTAGAGATGGGGAGAGGGAGGAAGGGGTAACTCTGCTCCACACACGTGGACTTAGCTGTTTGCAAGGTGGAAAGAGTTCAAGGGATGAGCTATAGTGATGGGTTCACAACAGTGAGAATGCATTAATGCCACCAGACCATACAATGAAAAATGGCTAAGATGGTAAATTTTATGAATTATTTAACTACAATTAAACAATTACAAAGAAAAGAAACACAAAGGGAGTGAGAGAAAAAAACTTTTTTCAGAAGGAAATCTAACACTCATTTCCCCCCTAATTAAAAATGAAGATCATCCCCAGCACCACCAAAAAAAAAAAAAAAAAAAGGAAAGAAAGAAGACCATAAGAAAAATACCTACCGTCTCTGCTCCAAGTGTCTGCAGGCCAGTGTACGTTCTATCCAGCTATTGAAAGACAAAGGACAGAGTGTTCAATTTCACTGTGTTCACTTACAGACCTTAGGCTAATCACAGGATCCATGTTCTCATAATGTAAACAAGCACGTCATTGCTTCAATAAAAATCCTCAATTTTCTAGCAGAAATACTGGGTAAACACAAAAATAGTCACGGCCTTACAGTTATTATATTTTTAATGCAAGCCATTTACTTCTAAAAACCTATTCTAAGCACAATCCTAAAATGGAGGAAGTTTCACACCAGAAGTTTACTGTGACATCATCTATAACCACAAACTAAAAACATAGATGTCCAATAAAAGGAATGCTTAAGTAAACACGGATATTCAACTTGTGAAGTATTATGTAGCTACTAAGATGAGTTCACAAAAGTTGTGTAAATACATTTTAAATGACAGGCTATAAAAATATACATATAATATGATGACACAATTACATATTTAAATGTATGGTTATTAAGCATTCTTGAAAAAAACTTTTCATTCTTGAAAATTTAGGCATGACAGGCAATGCTAACTATTTCAAATATATTAGCATCATGAAAGACTTATTTGGGGGCTGAGGATATAGTTCAGTGACAGACCATCTGCCGACCATGTATAAGGCTATGGGTTCAATCCCTAGTACCCGCCCCCTGCCCACACACAAATAGGTTGAAAGATTTATTTTTGAGGAGAGAAAGAAGGCATAAACTGAGGGAATGTTAATAACATAAACCAAAGTTTACATTTACATAGGAAGGGGTTTACTTTTACTTCTTTTTGTGTTCCAATTTATATCCTGACATCTTAAAAAAAAAGAAATTTGTGACAGCTTATCCATATAAACATTGTACAGTAAGACTGACAGGAAAAACATGTTTATAAGTTGGGTAGAAAAAAAGGAAAAACTAGCAAAGCCAGGGAAGGTTAGTAAACACAAGGTTTTAAAGGCTGATAAGAGGTAGATGTTATGGGGCTGGGGTTGTGGCTCAGTGGTAGAACACTTGCCTTGCATATGTGCAGCACTGGGTTCGATTCTCAGTACCGCATATAAATAAATGAATAAAATAAAGGTCTGTGCTCATTTACAGACCTTAGGCTAATCACAAGATCCAAAAAAAAAAAAAAGGAGGCAGATGTTAAGCCTGGCTGAGCTCCTCACAGCCGACACAGGGAAGGCAACTCAGTCAGTCAGTCATGAGATTTTAGTATCCAGAAGAAAAAAAAGCAACATAGGGTTGATTAAGACAGGTTCCACAGATGAGATCTGGAGTTTTAATATTTTAACCTTAGCCAAGAGTAGGACTGCTAAACAGGTATGGGCAATTTTAGGTGACATTCATTTTCTTATCCCCTAGAAAATGAAAATAACAGTTTATCTATAATCTGAACAGGCATGTTTCATTCTTAGGACCAGATTTTAAGAGGGACATTGATAAAAACAGAATTATTATCAAAACAGCAAAAGGAACTAGAAAACACAGCATACAAAAAATGTTACAGAAACAAGTTTTGCCTAGAGAAAAAAATGATTTATGGAGAGACATGAAGGCTATTACTGAAATTTTTAAGTTCTTATAAATCACAATGTTGTACAGTATTATTTTAAAATCAAGCTACAACAATAAGATCAAGGTTGTTTTGTTTTGCAAGAAGAAGAGCAGTTTTAAGTAAATTATGAAAAAAAAATTCAAAATTTTATTTACTAAATAAATAAAACATTTATTTGGAAGTGCTGTGCTCCATGGTAATGCTGAAGAGAGGGTTAAGTGACTACCTGCTGAGGATGCAGGGAATTTCATATATTCTGCAAACTCTTAACACTTAAGAATAGTTAGTATTTAATTCAGTATTTACAGTATCAAATACACATAATTATGTACTCTGTAGAGTAAAATGCAGACATCGTTATGAGCTTAAATAGCCAGAAAAAGTTACACAGAAACTTGAAGAATGGAAAGAATTCAAACAAATGTTTGAGGAGGAGGAGAGGATGAGAAAAAAAGGTACAAGGAAAGAAAAGCCAAGGACTTTCTATGACACGAAAAGAGTGAGATGACTGGAGAATGCTCATGCAGAGGATTAATGCAAGATAATTTAGGGGAAGTATGTTGAATCAAAACAGGAAGAACCCTAAAAAGTAGGCGGGGAGTCTGAACTTGAACATCAAGAATTAAATTATGTTTTCCAAAAAAGGAATAGCATAATGGTTCTGCTGTTTTGGACAGACTGATCTGATGATGGTGTATAGAACGGACAGAGGGGAATGGAAATGAACAAAAGAAGGCAGAACACAGACTAGCAACAATGGGAATATAAGAAAGATTGTTTAGAAAGAATAATGGTCTTCAATTGAACAAATATTTAGAACAAAGAGGTAAGAATGAAAGATGTTTCATTCTAAGAACACAGAAAAAAACAGCGAAAATGCCGGGCGTGATAGCACACACGCCTGTCATCCCAGCAGCTCTGGAGGCTGGGGCAGGAGGATTGCGAGTTCAAAGCCAGCCTCAGCAAAAGCGAGGTGCTAAGCAACTCAGTGAGACCCTGTCTCTAAATAAAATACAAATTAGGGCTGGGATGTGGCTCAGTGGTCAAGTGCCCCTGAGTTCAATCCCTGGTACCTCCCCCCCGATCCCTGCCAAAAAAAAAACAAAACAAAAAAACAAACAGGGAAAATGACAACTCCACTAAAAATAAAGATCCTGTGGCCAAAATATAGGTATTTAAAAGCTTTGAGGTCAATGTACAACAAAAATAGTAAAAATTATGTTTTCTAGAAAAACTGGTTAAGAAGTACTTCACTGTCATTTTATACCACTGTGTCTCAAATAATTTTCTACAGGGAACTCTAGGTGATATGCACAATAAAATATGTGAGAACCATGTAAACAATTCCCTTTATTTTAGAGACTAAATAAATTATGTTGCCTAGAGCAACATAATGTGCTATGTACAGTGATTAAAATAAGTTGAAAGAAAGCAGAACTATTTTAGACTTTCTTCAAATAGAACAGTATTCTGTCCTTTTGAATGAAGTGCCTACACGCTGTTTAATTGGGTTCTGTTCTTCTCTGAGGTTATAAGGCAATCTAGTCTTACAGTAAGTAGAAAATAACTTAAAAGTCAAGTTAAGCAGTACCATGTATCACTAATGGAGAGAAAACTTTAGTATGCCTCAGGGTTTAAAGAGGTACATTTATAAAACAAAGGTAATGTAAAAGGAATTCTATAAATGTACTCAGCTTTATTGAGTTTAATTTTGGGAATTATAAGCCACAAAGTAGGGATGCTTTGGGAGAAGTAAAATGTTAGGATTATATCACATATAGAGAAAATGAACAGATGATATTTTCTACTATACATTACAAAGAGTGTCTAGGGGGAGCACTAAAACGGTCTGTCTTCCAACTATAAAAGCTAAATATGTTTATTATATAAAACTGCAAAAATGTTAAAACAAACAGGAAAACAGAAAAAAGTATAGGGGAAATTGCCCACCAATTCATTACTTCAATAACACCAATAGTTGGTATTTTGTTTTGTTTTTTCTACCTTTTAAAAATCATGGCTAACTTCATATACATAGTATTTTGTGCTCTGCTTTTCACTTACTATAATGGTAGTTTTTCTCTACAAACAGAAAACTCTTCATAAAATATAATTTATAATGGCTGCATAATAAATCATGTGAATACATCAATGAAGAATTTCTGATCATACAAACTAGATATTGCAACCCAGTACTTTACAATTGCCAAAATATGTTTGTTTCCCTTAATCCTTGTGAGATAAACAAGCAATGCATTATTTGTCTCATTTTATAGAAAAGCTAATATTTTTTAAAAAATTAAGATTTCAATTACTTAGTCTTAAGTAACACATCAATGGTAAGATTTGATAAAAATTCAAGTCTTCACATTATCTGAACAATTAGTTCATCTTTTCAAAGAAAATACATTGTGCTAGAAAGTAACTTGTCTCCACAACCTTCAGAGGACAAAGAAGTGCTGTAACAGTAAGCATAACATGCTCAAATGATTATCCTGCTTCCACTGTCCATGACCACCTCCCTCACTACCATATGAAATAGATGATGGGAAAAAAAATATCATTTCTGGGGAGCAATGCTTTGTCACAATACCTTCAGATTATGTATGATATCTATCCGCTTGTTCTGGCTGTCCTTAAAGTGAACTTGAACTCTGACAGGAAACTCACCCCAGCCTCTTCTGGTCAGATGAAAAGGAGGCTCTCTAGGGAAAAGCAGATATTTATACATTCACCCATGTTCATGTTCTCATCCTAGAGAGGAAGTTTTCTTATAATGGATAAGTCAGAAATTCACATCCTTCTTAGAATCACTTATGTTTCCTTATGTGAAGCTAAAGTTACATGCTGAATTTCACTAAAATACTAAGTTACAAAAATTCAAATCTACAATAAATATTCCATTTTTGAATGCTTAGAGTTAATAGGTCCAGACAGTAATCCAAAGTTATTTTCATAGACGAGGGACCAAAGTTAATTGATGAATGTTACACTATAGAGCCAGAACCTGTGATTGGCATATGACAGGCACAGGCTCTGAGGTTTGTGTTCCTACCCCAAGTCCCCAAAGGCAAAAATAAAATAAATCATGAAAATGCTCAATCCGAAAGTGAAAATTTATTTGAAACTGCTAAAAAGACTTGATCTTCCCCATACAATAGCTGTGATTTTAGTGGGTACAGGAGAATGTGTATGAATATTAATTGGACTGAAGAATTTATAGTCATAATGTAATTAATTAAGGGGGAAAAATGGAAATTAGCCAAGAGTTCTGGGATTCATCTAAAATCTCAGCTACTTGGAAGGCTGAGGCAGGAGAGTCAGAAATTCAAAGACAGCCTGAGCAACTTAACAAGACCCTGTCTCAAAATAAATGTAAAAAGGGCTAGTGGATATAGCTCAGGGGTATAATGTTTCCCTAGCACATATAAGTCCCTGTTTTCAATCCCCAAAACTGCTCAAAAAAAGGGTGTGTATAGAGGTGGGTTAATGGAACAAGACTGGCAAACTATTATTAATTGCAATGGGTACAAGTTCATTATACCCTCTACTTTTGTATATATGTGAAACTTTCCATAATAAAAAAATTTAAAAATTTAATTGAGATCTTTAAGTGTTCAAAACAATATGGCTTAAGTTAATTGGGAAGAGAGGAATACCTTTAAAATAAAAATGTTTATGAATCCCTGGCTTACAATTATTGTAATAAGATAAAATGCTGATCTTGCAGGGAACAGGCACTTTCAAAACTAAGAGAAAGGCTTTCTAGAAGTGGAGAGTCCAAGGATAAAGCCTGAGAGGACAGATCTGAATTAATAAGCACAAAGCCAGGAGGTACCAGAATGGTGAATTCTAGATATGACATTTGGAATCATCAAGAATAAATTTTTCCTCCACATTAAAGACCTTGAAAAACAGGAAAAATCTGAGTAGCAGTCTAAAAAGTGGACAAAACAATGCCCACGTTATAAAAGAGAGAAAAGAAAGTTAAAGAATTTAAAAAACGCAAAAGCAAAAGCAAAGTACATGCCCTGGATAGAAGAAGTCAGGTGAACACAAGATGAGGTCAGAGAAACAGCATGATGATGGTAGAGGAACAGGCTTCGGGTAAATGAGAAGGTAGACTTGAGGTAGCATAGAAAGGGATCCAAGGCCAAAGGTATGGCAAGGCCCATGGTGGACCTAATAATAATAATCAATGGAAATTCTATAAATGATAAATTTGGTAATTTAAATTCCAGTAAAGTTGAGAGGACAGTCTAAACTTATTTTGCAATATGTCTCATTATACTGTTTGCATGGTCAATTGCTCTCACAATGGAAATCAGGCATGTTCTTAATTTATGTATGCAGGCTAACCTTCAGTGAATAGACAGGAAGGACTGTGGCCAGGAAAGACACAGACAAATAGCACAATTCAAGAAAAAGGAACAATGGTTTTTACAGGAAATTCTTCTATAATCATATTTTGAGAAGCAAAAAAAGGAATCTAAGAACTACTAATAAAGAAAACATTATTAAGAAAATTCTATAATTTTAAAAATATGTTATTCCATACAAGAAAGAACTGCATACCCTGAACAGAATTATACATTTCTAGATTCCTAGTAGAAGGTAAAAAAAAAAAAAAAAAAGAAAAGAAGAAAGGTTCTACTGGAAACAGAATGAAGTACAACTCCTTGTTCAATTTATTAATTCAAACGACCAATTTGAATTCAAATGTCTTTTAGTATCACTCCTAATGACCCAGAATTCACCACTTACCGAATTCCTTGTTCCGTTTTGGAATACCTATTATAAAAATATTTACTCTACCTCCTGTATGATAGTTCTAGATATGTCACTTAGAATCACAAAGAATAAATTTTTCATTCACATGAAAGATCTTCAAAAGAATTAAAACATCTCTGTGAGTCTTTTCTCTTCAGGATGACCACCTCTTTTCCTTAGAACAGCAACAGCAAATGTCCATAGTATTTCCTTGACCCACTCTATTCTAAGTCCTTTGCATCTATTAACTTACGTAATCTTTACAACCACGCTATGAGCTATCTCCTCTGAGACACAGTGAGGTTGCATAACTAACTTGCCCAGGTCACAGAGCAAATAAGTACCTGAACCAGGATTCAAACTCAAGCAATAGGCTGTAGGGACCATGCTTTTACCACTGTGGTAGTCTAGGTTCCCATGGTGACAGAACTCTATACTGCCCAGACCACTCACCTCCAGATGGACAATAATAGTATGGCTAGCTCTTTTCAGACTGGTATAGACAGCAAGTACCCCTGACTTCTAATAAGGCAGCTTAAAATTGCATTACTATGCTAGGTAATTTGTTTTTATCTTCTGGTTTTCAGAAAATCTGAAGTTATATGTGTGGCTCATAATATATTTCTATTGAACAGTGCTACTCTAAAGAGTTTCTACATTCAACCTACATAAAACAGACACAAACGTCTTAAAGACCCTCACTAAGATCTGCTCTGGGGGCCTGATCCGCTCTGGTCAGGCAGTCGTACTATGCTCAACTTTTCTAATGCAGGGACTATGTAGTCTTTATGTTTCCATAACAGGCCCTGAGTTTAGCACACATTTAGCAACTGTCTTATGACTAAAAGCAAAGTTAACATGCACAAGTTTTAGGAAGCTGGCTAAGAGTGGTTCATGACAACTGAAACAAATGAAAAAGATGCTTCTATAGGAGCACAATCTACCCATGTTCTTCCTACATAATGTGCTGGGTTGAGAAGATACAGCATGCATGAGAAACACATTTGTATTCTGACCCAAAAGTAAGATTAACCCCAAGTTTCAAGCCAGGTGCAAAAGCCATGTATAAAATTAATTTTGACACCAGACCAAAAAAAAAAAAAAAAAACAGCTTTGAAGTCTTAAAAGAACCCAGTTATAATTAAATCTAGGACATGTGTTAATAATAATAGCAAGAGTACAAATGATAGAAAAAAAAATCAATAAACCACATGCTAAAACTATTTCTGATAGAGAAAAATAGTAGATAACTGCAATGGGAAATTATTAGATAATGCAAGGAAGGAGGAAAGCAAACCACATGGCTCTATAATGGAAGTGAGGATTTTTTAGGTAGAAGGGGTAAAGGTGATCTTGGAATCATAAACCTGACAAGTAAGACACCAATCCCATTTCCAGACCCAGCAGTACAATGTGTATGGGAGGGGAAAAAAATAGCCACCACTTAAAAAAGAGTTCTCAAGAGAGCCAGGTTTTGTTTAAAAATTAGGAGTAAAAGGAATGTTCTGGTCAGAGTACAGAATATAGGAGATTCCACTAATTATAAGCCACCAGCACTACCCCAGCGCATTCAGTGAAGGTGTATGTGGTATCATCATATACAGATGGAAGAATACATGACAAACAAATAATATGACAAGCAAATAAATGACAAGCAAGATTTCACAATAGTACACATATTATCATTCCATTTTTGTGAGGTAACCACAAACAACTAATAGTATATGCACAGGAAAAGTATCACTAGGGATTATTTTTGAGTGGGTGGGATCATCTCAACATTAAATATTTGTGTAACACCAGAATCCTGTATTTCTTTCTATTACACATAAAAAATAGTAACATTTTAATACACATCTGTATCCATATAAACAAATTAGCTACTATCAGCTGATGTAATTAGTATGGTAACAATCTGACATGGGGTGACAATGCCTGTTCAGTGAGACAGTCATCTGCAAAAGGAGAGAAACCACAGCTAAAACTACATTGTGACTAAAGAGCCAACTCTGAGTATGTCACTAATAATACAAGAATTTCCAGAGAACGTTCTAAAGTTAAACCACATTTCTGTTCTTAGGCTAAAGAACTTAAATATGCTCACCTAACTTCCACAAGGTCATTTGGTTTATAGCTGGGATGAAGGAAGAACCAAACTTTCTTGACAAAATGATTAATGCTGGGTTCTCTACGAGACCCTCGAACATATACCATCCACTTATGGGTTGACTGGTCATTTTCTTCCCTTTTATCTGGAGGTATATACCTAGAGAAGAAAAAGAAAAAAGAAATCTGAATTTTTCTTTCCTTCAGAGACCTAATAACACAATTAACTGCTCTTTAAAACAAGATTAATATTCCAGCAATATTAAACAGCTATGTCAATTAGCCAAAGTCTTTGTAGTGAGTTATTTTATTTTTTCTTTAAACATTTCTTTGGTCTAAGAGCCATCCCTTTAAAGTTTGTTTTGTTTTCTGATTAGCAGTCTGAGATTTTAATATAAAACTTGTTTTTCCTATCAGGTGGGTACCTGAAGTGGAAATAACCTGACATATTTTTATTCCTGAGCTAGAGAACCTCTAGTCTTTGAGGTTTTCACTCAGATTCCAGGGTGCCAGAACTTCAGGACCTTTTGGAGCCAATCACTGCTGCCAAGGTTAGTTTCCTGCCTTTTGAAAGCTCAAACAAGCCACTACAAGTCTTTTTGTTGTTGTTTTGTACTAGGGATTGAAGCCAGGGGTGCTTTACCACTGGGCTATATCCCTAAGCCCTTTTATTTTGAGACAGGGTCTTACTAAGTTGCTGAGGCTGACCTCAAACTTGCAACCCTTCAAGTCTTGATCATAGTAAAACTAGCATCTGAAGCCCTCCCCTTCATGGGCCCCATTTTCATTTCAATGTATGAGTGCTCCTTCCTAGATTCTGGAGGAGAATATGAACATGGCCTTCTATGTTATCTTTAGTAATGCAGGGGGCCAAGCTGCCTAACAGTTCTTCAGGAGAATTCTTGTCTAGTCTTGGTGCTTTGCTCTTCCATGTATAATATACTAACTGGTGAATTTCATGAACCTTGTTGGGAATTTAGATTTTGGAGAAGAAGAAAAAAAAGTCCAAGAAACTTATCACACATAAATCCTTCCATTTCAAAAAAGAAAAGAAAGAACAGTAAATGAGTTCCCAGGAATAAGAACCCGATTTCAGCATCAATAGTGCCAACCACAAATAAATGGCAAATGCCGAGATCATAAATGTATAGAAAAAAAACAGATTTGAAAGTTAGGGTTGGAAGTAGTTCCTGAGAATTGACCACTCTCAATGCTTTCAAATGCCTCTTAATCGCATCTTCTACAAACGTCACACCAAAGTTTAAGAGGTTACTATACTGCCTCTTCTCTAGTGACACTTTGGAGAGAATGTCTTCTTGCTTATCATCTCTGGATATTAGTGGATATGGTGCAAGGCAGAATGGCACTGTAAAGAGAGGATGTACACAGGAAAAAAACAATATCCAGTTGACAAACAGGAAGCTTAGAGTCAAATAGGACCGTGCTTACTAATGAGCAAGATCACCCTAAAAGTGTTTTGGATCATGGTGAATTTTTGAAATAACTAAGAGCCTGGAAAAAATAATTCCTCAGGCTTCAACCCACTGGAATATTACAGTAAAGGACTACCAGTGCCAATGTATTAATAGAAATGATGGCTGAAAAATGAGAAAAATCAGCTCGTACTCACTTGGACACATTGCCCACTACTATTGTTTTCTTTACAAAAAGTCGTGAAGTCTCATCTCCTGTGAGATCAGTATTCCGCTGTTCTGTTTTATGAGAGCCAGTAACACCAGAAGTATCCTGAAAATAATAATCAATATTCATTTCATTTAGAACAATTTACAATAGCACAAAACTCAGAAAATCAAAAAGTATAGAGGAGCTCAAATATTTTTTTTAAATTATAAAATTCTATGGCTTTGTGGCACCTTTGAGAGCATGAAAAAATAATTTGCTATAAATAACTGCACTATCTTATACTAAAAGTTTGTACACTATACTTCCACATGTATTTTTATTATTCACATACATCTGCTTTATATATGCAAAGAAGATGTGGAAGAATATGCAAGAAACTATTACAGTGGTTATCTCTGAAAAATGGCAATGGAAATGGAAAAATTTACTTTCTTTTTAATTTTCTGTATTATTAAAAATTTTTCAATGAGAAATAAATACAATGATTAAGGCTAGGGTTGTTGCTCAGTGGTAGAGTGCTTGTCTTGCACACCTGAGGCCCTGGGTTCAATCCTCAGCACCACATAAAAATAAATAAAGATATTGTGTCCATCTACAATTAAAAACATTAAAAAAAAAAAAAAAAAAAGAAAGAGGGGCTGCTGTGGCTCAGCAGTAGCACACTTGCCTGGCATGTGTGAGGCGCTGGGTTTAATTCTCAGCACCACATATAAATAAATAAATAGAATAAAGGTCTTTGAACAACTGAAAAAAAATATTTTTTCAAAAAAGAAAGAAATACAATGATCAATTAAAAGTTGGACTACAGTGACAGAAAGTTACAGTTCAAATTCTAGTCCTTCCAGGTATTAACTTGTTATCTTGGGTAATTACTCTCTCTGCCCCACTTTTCTCAAAGGACATTAATAGTACCACTTTATGACTGTTTCGTATAGTTCTTAGAAAAGTGTTTGATTCACAGTAAGTACTAAATGTTTGTAATATATGCATATATATAAACCACCACATATTGTATAAAAGATGTTAAGTTTCTAAATTAAGACTAATATGACTTAAATTCTTGTTCTTAAAAAAAAAAGAGAGAGAGAGATACAACAGATACAGTGGCATATGCCTATAATCAGCTACTTAGGAGGCTGAGGCAGGAGGATCTCAAATTCAAGGTTAGCCTCGGCAACTTACTGAGTTTCTGTCTTAAATAACAACAACAACAAAAATTGAAGATGTAGCTCCCCTGTAAAGTGTGCTGGGTTTAATACCCAGTATGGAGAACCAATCAGTAAAATATTTGATGTCTTACTACAGAAAGCAACTTGGAGATGCATGCTTGTAATCCCAGCGGCTTGGGAGGGACTGTGAGTTCAAAGCGAGCCTCAGCAACTTAGTGAGACCCTAAGCAACTCATCAAGATCTTGTCTCTAAATAAAATATAATAAAGAGCTGGGGATGTGGCTCAGTGTTTATGTGCCCCTGGTTCAATTCCCAGGACCAAAAACAAAAAAAGCAAGCAAGCAAGCTACTTTGGAAATTTCCTGTCACAGAACACCAGGCTGAGAAAAACCACTGGTCTAAACCAATAATGATGATAGCTGAATATTACATGAAGTTTAGAGTACCTTGAGCTGGCAATTCAAGCATTTAAGTTGGCAGGATCAAATATTAATGAATAGCATTCAATTCCATTTATTTATTGTCAAATTTCCTTCAGCTAATATAACATCTTTGAACATAAAACCTCATACAGGAAAGTGCTTAAGAGTCACTAGAAAGAATAAACACAATAGTGGAAAGACCTTTGGTAAGGTCACTGAACCATCAACCTTTAAAGGTTTCTTTCATATCTACATGAATGACATCTATCAGTTGTGCAATGCCCTGGATTCTTAATCTCTAAAATTAAAAAGACATGGGCTTAATTCTCAGTTCTGATACATCTGGGCAAATACAACCTTAACCTCATCAAGGCTAAGTTTCCTCACTTTAAAAGGAAAACAGGCTGTTTCCTAGAGTGCCTGTAGAAGATAATATGCGCACAGTTTATTAGTAAATACTAGTTCCCTCTCCTCTAGCTCCCTCTCATCCATTCAACTTTACCCTTCCAGTATTTCGGCTTGATCTCTGTTCCATGTTGTTTGAGACTCTTTCTTCCATATCCATATTGCTGTTATTATCTTTGTCAGATAAGAAGTCATTGTGCTGAGATAAAGAATCACTTTCTGAATGATTAGCTGAGGGTGTTTCTGATCTCTGATTGGTAGGAGATGACGATCTAGATGGCGATTCCAAAAATTTCTTGATAGCAGGATGATTAAAAACCATTGGATCACATGTCTTTGATCCCTACAAAAGAATGACAGCATGCAAACTTTTAATCCAATCCACTGAAAGGAGGTAAAAATGTGATCTCTTCAAACTCTTAGCTATGACGATTACATTTAAAATCCTTCAAAATCTCTACTTATAAAATTAAGGACAAACTCCTTAACAAGGTCTGCATCAACAGAACAAAAATTAAGGTGACAGCTACATAAAAGTTGTTAACACTAAAAGCTAAAGATAGAGGGTCTTCTAAAGATAAAATATGTTTAGAAGATATTTTATCTTATCTAGAAGATCTACTGCTCTTTATTTCTCTTTAGAAATAATAATACACAGAAAATAATATTTGACTTTAAAAAAAAAGTAGAGATGTGGCTCCGTAGTGGAATGCCTGCCTGGCATATATCAGGCCCTGGGTTTGAATGCCTATACAGAAAAACAAAATGGGGGGTGGCATATCACTTTACACAAACACATCAAAGGCTCTAAATATCCCTGTAAAGAAATTTAAAAATTAAAAAAGTATATGGTATAGGGGCTGGGGTTGTGACTCAGCCGTAGAATGCTTGCCTAGCATGTGTGAGGCACTGAGTCTGATCCTCAGCACCACTTAAAAATAAATAAATAAATAAATAAAGGTATTGTGTCCAACTACAACTAAAAAAACAAAATATTTCTTTAAAAAGTATATGGTATAAAAATGACACCTACATAGAAGTAAAATGTAATATTTATTAAATGTTTTAAGATAATTAACTCTAATTTATAAAGTTTACCCTCAGTCTACAGGGTATTTTTCTGTATCTTAGTTACTTATATACAAAATGTTATGTTTCATCATAATGTCATACACTGTAGTTATGTTCCTAGGAAGTCTAACTTTTAAAATATATTATTTAAAAAAAACTGTTATTAAAATAATTATTTTGGTGGGAGGAAATGAGCCAGAGAGTGTTTCTAAGTCAAAACAACAAAACTATTGAATCTCAATAATAAAGATTTCTCAGAGCTATAAATATGTTGTTACCACATATTAACTAAAAATAATTAAATGGCTGATCATAATAGACAAAAGTGTATCTAAATAATTTTGACCCCTAATCAGAACATTACTGCATAAAATCAGTGAATTTTCTAGACTATGTCTTGTCTACCCCAGAATCTGTGAATGTGACTTTATTAAGAAATAGGCTCAGTGCTGTGGTGCTAAGAGGCTTAACATGGATGAGGCCCTGGGTCCAATCCCCAGTACAAAAAAAAAAAAAAAAAAGGCAGGGTGGTGGGGTGTCCTTGCAGATATAATCAAGTTAAAATGAAGTTGTGCTAGATTGTGGTAAATTCTAATCCAAGACTAAATCCTTAAATGAAGAAGGGAAACTCAGACACACAGATTCAGAGGAGCCATACATAGAGGGAAAACATCCACATGAAGCTACAGGTAAAAACTGAAGCAATGCAGCTGTAAGCTAAGGAACATCAAGGACTGTGAGCAACCATCGGAAATGAGGAAGAAGCAAGGAAGGATTCTTCCCTGGAACCTTGACAGGTAACACTGCCCTGCTGAGAACTTGATTTTGGACTACCAGCCTTCAAAACTGTGAGGTATAAATCCCTATTGTTTTAAGCCACCAAGCTGTAGTAATGTAATGCAAGTCCTAGAAAATGAACATAGAGGGGCTGGAGTTGTGCTCAGCAGTAGAGTGCTTTCCTAGCACAAGCAAGGCCCTGGGTTCGATCCTTAGGACCACATAAAAAGAAAATAAAGGTATTGTGTCCAACTATAACTAAAAAACCAAAATATTAGGAAAAAAAAGAAAATGAACATAGATTCTAATGTACATTATGGAAACTCCAGTAATAAATGAAATCTGCCTACTATCGAGGATTAAACTCAAATAATGCTGTAGTTTCTACAAGATAACATCAGGGGCAGCACCAATACCAGGCACCGTAAAGCTCTGTGTGATAACACGAAAGCCTAAAGACGACACAGACCTCCCACTGTTACCCTAGAGTCTAGCCCTCTCTCATTCCCACGGAGCCAGTGATGTACAAGAAGAGAATTAGCTGAGACTAATTCTAACAGACAAAATTTAAGAAAAGAATTTTTTAAACACCAGCCAGCATGGAGGCTCATGACAGTCATTCCCAACTATTCAGGTTGAGCATGCAGGATCTCAAGGTCAAGCCTGGCCTGGGCAACACAGCAAGACCCCATCTCAAAACAAAACCACCCCCCACAAAAGTTATGCTGAAATTAATAAAACACCAACAAAAAATATTTCTATTTTGGTTCAGTCCTATTCTCTTGTCCCAAATTCAGTCAGATTGCTAGAATAAAAGAGCTAGATATTGGAATGTAGTTCAGTGGTACAGTGTGTGCTTAGCAAATATGAGGTCCTGGGTTGGACCCCAGGGACTGCCCACCAAAAAAAAAAAAATTTATAATTGGAGCAACCAAGGGATTATCACATTAACCAGTGTTCAGACTTAAACTCTGATATTTTGTTCCTAAACACATACAGCATTACTTATAAGGTAATCTTGCCAAAATATTTAACCTACATCTAATTGTACCTTTAGACTTGACTTCCATTTATAGGAAGATAAAGCAAATAAAAGAAACCCACAGGAGGGTGGGGGGGGATCCAAAATATAGAATACTCTATAAAAAAAAGTGGCCTAGTCTCTTCAAATAATCAATTCTCATGGGAGAAAAAAAGAAGGACTGTTTTAGAAGAAACCAAAGCTAGTCAATAAACCCTGATGAAGCCTAGTCTAAAAAATCCAGCTTAAGGGCTGGGGCTATAGCTCAGTGGCAAAGCGCTTGCCTAGCATGTGTGAAGCACTGGATTTGATTCTCAGCACCACATAAACATACACAAATAAAATAAAAGCATTCTGTCCATCTACAACTACAAATCTTTTTCTTTTTTTAATCCAGCTTAAAAGGTTTTGGGGACATGGGCTAGGGTTGTGGCTCAGCAGTAGAGCTCTTGCCTAGTATGTGTTTGGCACTGAGTTCGATCCTCAGCACCACATAAAAATAAATAAATAAATAAATAAATAAAATAAAGGTACTGTGTCCACTTATAACTAAAATATATATATATATAAGGGCTTTTGCTGTTTGCATTGTCAGTACCTCCTGAAGAAATCTGAAGTTGGATTAGTTATCAGATAATATTAGGAAATCATCTGCTTAGCTATCATGATGATAAAGGAAGAATATCTTTTAAAAAATAAATGCTTCAAGCCAGGTGTGGTGGTGCATGCCTGTAATCCCAGCAGCTCAGGAAGCCAAGGCATAAGGATCACAAGTTCAAAGCCAGACTCAGCAACTTAGTGAGGCCCTACGCCAAATAAAGGAAAAAGGGCTAGGGATGTGGGCTCAGAGGCTTCATGTCCCTGAGTTCAATCCCTGGTACCAAAAAAAAAAAAAAAAAAAAAGAAGAAAGAAATGCTCAAGTAGTTAGGTATGAGATGCTGTAATGCCTAGAACTTACTTTTAAATGTTTTAGAAAAAATATAAGACAGAGCAAATATGGATAAATATTAAAATCGCTGAATCCAAATGTATAAATAGGTGCTCCATATATTTGCAATTTGGCATAAAAAGTGTATGGAGAGAGGGGAAAACAGGGCTTGTTGAATATGGTAAATCTTCTGAAACTAAAAATTGCCATCATTAGAGTAAAAGGTAAGAGAAAACTCAGTCAGTCTATAATTTACTCCAAAACAGACATACTCAAATGAGGAAGAACTAGGGCATCTTTGGATATCAAAACACGGCATAATGCTAACAATTAGCAGGAAAAAGATTAATGAAAAGGAGAAAAAGCCACTCAGGATTACTGACAATGCAAACAGCAATGACTAAAGGACTGTGGTTGAATATGTGTGTTTCCCCAGAAAGGTAGGCTAGAGGCCTCCGAAATCCTAAAGGTCAAAGAAATGTTTGAAAGGCAGGGAGGGATTATTCCACATTGACATAAGTTTTCCTCAGACAACTACTGTGGCTGGAAAACAACTGAATATGATAAATACTTACCTCAGAAACTTTCAGAAGACCTGCAGAAGCATAATAGTTTGCTACAATGCAGGCACGAAGTTTATCCATCATCCTTCTTGCTTCAATCAGTCGCTAAAAACAAGTGTTACTTCATTACTTTAAAATATGGCAATTATAACAGAAAACATAATTCACTAAATAAGAAAAGCAAATGACAAAAGAATTCACTTTTTCTGATAATCAAAGAAAAATATATAAAGATGACATTTCTCACCTGTCAGATTGGCAAAGATTTAAAGAATGAACCCCGCCCCCCAAATGCAAGGTATGCAGATATATTAAAATGCATATTTATGAGCATATTCATTGAGAAATGTCAACAAAGATACTGAGTATAAGATCAAAGAGGAATTATCTTTGGGGATGGAATTTCAGGCAATATATTTTCTTTATCTTTTCTGGAATGTTATTTTTTTTAACATGGTATTTTCCCTCAAAACAAGAAAAATATTTTTCAAAAAATAGCAGGAAAAAAAAAAAAGCAAAGGAAAACCATGACTCTATTTATATATATAGAAAAAAAAATATATATATATATAATATAACACATATATATATATTTTTCTTCTTCTTTCCCCAATTCATCCTATAGACTTTTTATCATAGCTTTGGAGCTTTTTGTGGGTTTTTTTTTCAACTTATGATCATTATACCTGGTCAATGACTTCAATTTCATGTTCCTTATTCTTCATTTCAAGAGCAAACTGCTCCTTGATAATAGTCTCAATCTTCTGCACAGCAGCATCTCGAGCTACACAAAGAACACAAAATACATCAAGTCCTAATTAATCTGGAGCGATCTTAAGTCAGCAAACAACAAGAAACCTAAGGAATAATAGCTCCAAGGGATAAATCTGGAGGGCATTACTTTAACCAGCAATAGAAAGTTAAAATCACTCATTTTGGGACAAAATGACCTCATGTGCTTTGTGACATGATGCACTAAGAAGTCCACCACTACATCTTTCTGAGATATTCCTGCCAAAAATACTAACCCTGCTCACCATGAAACATCAGACAAAAATCAACCAAAAAAACAAAAACCGAAAGATATTCCACAAAACAACTGCCTTGTACCATTTAGATACTAAAGTAATGGTAAGGATAAGGAGACTAAAAGAGACTAGAAATGGGACAACTAAATTCCCTGCATACTCTGGATTGGATCCCGAAGGGGGAGAAATAGCTCTAAAAATACAATACTGATAAAACCAGAATACGGGCTACAGATTGGAATAATATAATGTAACAATGCTCAAATTTTCTGCTTTTGATAAATTTACTGTGGTTATATAAGAGACTGTCCTTTAAAAACACACCGAGGTGTTTCCAATTTATTCTCCAATGGTTTTGAAAAAGCAAAAAATAATAATGTGCTTACATGCATGCATGCACATACATGTACGTGTGTGTGGAAATGGGAAAAAGGACAAATCCGTATCAAAACATCATTTACTATCTCATAAATGTAAACAATAATATGTTAATTAAAAGTTTTTTAAAAAGGGCTGGGGTTGTGGCTCAGCTGTAGAGTGCTTGCCTAGCACAAAATGAAATTACCTAGCACTGGGTTTGATCCTCAGCACCACATAAAAATAAAATAAAGGTTATTGTCTCCACCTACACTAAAACAAATATTAAAAAACAACAACAAAAAAATGATTGCTGGGCAGTGACACACACCTGTAATCCCAGTGATTAGGAAGGCTAAGGCAGGAGGAACCCAAGTTTGAGGCTAGCCTCAGTAACTCAGTGAGATCCTGTCTCAAAATAAAATATTAAAAGGGCTGTCGATGTGTTAAAGAACCCAGTACCTAAAAATAAAGATAAGTCATATAAGGCAAAATGTAAATAACTGGTAAATTAATTTGGATAAGACATGAGTATTCCTTGCAATTTTTCTGTTTGAAATTATATAAGGAGAGATGAAGGAAAACAATGAGGAAATACTAGGGAATGATACTGACCAGATTATATTGTTATATTGTGTGTATATAAGAATATGCAGCAATGAACCCCACTATCATGTGCATCTATAATGCATCAATAAAAAAATAGGAAAATAATTACATCAAAATGAAATTACCAAAAAAGGAAGAAGTAAAAAAAAAAAAAAAAAATCAAGAAATTCTGAAATATTTGGTGGCCTGTGAAAAACCAGAGGTCTAAAGAAAAAGACAGTAAAGAGCTGAGGAAAAAGTAATCTGTGATACTAGAGCAATATATAACAGGAGAAGTTTCCTTCTGCAGAGAATGGGCTAATAGGCAATTCAGCAATTTCTTATCATAAATACCTGAAAGAATGAGCAAAGAAAGAAATCAAAAGAAAGCAAATCCTTTGAAGGCACTAGAACTCAGATGATGACTACTCAAAGCAATACACAACTCAGAGTTAAATATATCAAAACACACAGTGCGACTAGATAGAACACCAAAACAAAGAGCAGTGATATGATTGCTTAAAAAGCAAATCTGGGATTTAGCAAAAATGATCCTTGTGTTTGTGACATGAAAAATTCAGCACCTATGCTTTGGAGTACAGCATATGAAAAAATAACAAAAAATTTTTTTGACTCTTTGATAAATCTGTGTCATTTTATCCACATAAAATATGTCAGGGAATTGGGAATTTAAAATTAGTAATGGGTGGGGCTGAGGAATTAGCTTAGTGGTACACTGCATGCTTATCATGCTCTAGGTCCTGGGTTCAAAATCACTACCATCATCAAAAAAGTGCTCCTGTAGTAGGCCATGGTGGTGCGTACTTACAGACCCAGCTACTTGGGAAGCTGAGCATGAAGCTCACTTGAGCCCAGGAGTTAGAGGCCAGCCTGGGAAACACAGTGAGTTCCCTTCAAAACAAAACAAATGAACAAAAAAGCCCAAACCAAAACAAAACAAAAAAACTAGACCAACAAAAATTTGGTTAACATAGCACCACACACACACACACAAAAAAAATGGTTTAAATTACTGACATTATGTATTTGTCTGCATAGAGAGAAACAACTAGTATATTTCTCATATTTAATAAATATTTTCCTAGATCACTGGGTATTTTATAGGTAAAAAATAATTCTTAAAATGATGTTACATATAATTAATTATAAAAATAACATAACTCTATTATTAAATATATAAAATATATATAAATTTTATGTACCTAAATTTATATATAAAAGTATACATAAATGTTGTATACATAAACCAACAGATATTCTCAGATGCTGAGAGTCAGGTACCACGTCACTGTTTCATACCATAAATTCCTGACACTTAATATATTATATCTTTCTCAGAAGATTGAAAAGCAAAAGCAAGCCAAAACAAAATAACATAAGCAAAGGGAAATATATGACTAAATCTATACTGCAAAAAATTCTTAGGAAAAAAAAGATTAGGATTAGGTAGAAGGAAACCAACAGAAACAGCAGCAAATGGTCCTCAGTAACAAAAAATTGTCCTTTCTTAAATAGGGTTTGGGAACTCACACTAGATTTAAACCAAAGATAGAGGGCTACAGTGTTAAAACCACTTTTCTCTATTCTTTTTAGGGTGGGGGTGTGCATGTGAAGATTTTGAGCAATAGATGTATGTTACATGATAACTCTATATTTATCTGGCTTGTTATTAAAAAGAAATGACATTTCCACATAAAATTACAGCTGCAAGAGGGGGAAGTTGAAGTGAAATATTTTCATTATTTAGGATTGAATTTTACTATTTTCCTTCCAAAAAGACTTCTGAATATGTATGACTTGACTATACTTTTAGAGACAGAAATTTTTTTCACCATTTAAACTATAGGGGTCTTAATCTTTATGAAACTGCAACACATGAGCTATAACTTTGATGCTTTCTGTGCACAACTCAGGTATTTAAATAAACATAAATTTCAACAATAATTTATTGCACAAATTTGCAATTTTTTTTTTAGATAGCTTAGGACATTCTTGATCACTACAGACACACAGTTGATGATTTGCTCCTCAATAAATTATATAATGATGGGCAAATAATTAATGCCTCTGAACCCACTAAAAGCAGCTAGGTAAGTACAGGGATTGAACTAGATAAATGTTCCCCAAATTTCCATATATCATTCATATATCACTTTTAAGATAACTCCTGAAAATCTGAAAACCATGTGAAATGTTTTAACACAAATAATATTTTTAAATAATTTTAATTTTATCCAAATAGTAGCCACGAAACTACAAGTTTGATGAGTTCATTCTTTTTCTTAACACACATTAAAACCTCAATCTATGTATCAACTATAAGCAATCATCTCACCTGATACCCACTATTGTACACATAAGACTTCATGATTACTACTAATATACCATGATAGCTAAAATGTGTAGCCTGTCTCATTACTGCTATGTTCAATATCTACTTGATCATGATACTGCCAGATCATCTGCCTTTTATGCAACAAATGGTGTATTACTATTATACAGAGTACTTTGCTCACAAACCCCTTCAAATTATATGTAAATTGGAAATTCATTTCATTTTAGCTATTATTCATTTTAAAGTGGAGGCAAATATCAACAAAGTAGTAATAGTTTCCTAAGGTAGCCAATTTCTACCTGAATTCTCAATTGCTTTATGCCGCTTATTTGGAAGGGCCACAGATACATCCTCGTAATCAGGGTCGGTTTCTTTGATTGTTCGCTTGATGCCCGACATGATGACATTCAGTTCTTCACTGTAAAAGTAATAATTAATTAATAAACATTATACAATACTAACGCTTACATTCAACATCACTATCAATTAGAGAAATGCAAATTAAAACTACACTGAAATTTCATTTCACTCTAGTCAGAATGGCAATTTATTAAGAAAACAAGAAACAATAAATATTGGTGAGCACTGTAGGGAAAAAGGCACACTGCCAGTGGGACTGCAAGTTGGTACAAACCACTTTAGTTTGTATCTTCTGCACATATTTCTATTGGATTGTGAATTTCTTATTGATTTAGATAAATAATATGTATAATTTAAAAAAACTTAATCCAACTTGGAGATATACTCACTTGATTCAAGCAGGACATTCAACATGTAATGATATATACGTATATCCTCTGAGACAACATTTTTCCTGTAACTTATTTTGTATTATATTACTGAGCTTAAAAATATTCCCAAAGCATGCAGCATTTATATAAACATCCCAAATCAAGCCACTTAACATGTGTTCATAATCATTAGTTACCCGCTGTAATTTAGAATATAAAGATTTTTGGAGAGGCCTGGAATCTAATTATCTATTTTTAAAGTTTATAAAAAAGTAAAGTCTTTATTTCTTCTTTGGTCTGTAACTCATTTTAGACAATCCAAGAAAATCTGTGCAGTTATAAAAAGAATACACTCTTGGGAAAAAAAAAAAAAAATCAATAAACCTCATTTCTTCTTCTCTAACAAAGACAGGAGTAAACAAAACAAAATAAAAAACTAACCGAAAACTACTTGCAGATAAACCTAGAAGCAGAGATTGATACATCCCAGAAAATGTTCAAATTTTTCCCTGTACCATACTACTTCCTCTATGGCCACCTACTTCTACAGTTTGCCAAATCTTATGACATTATCTATATAGATGAATGCAAATCCAACATCATCTTCACCTCTCCATTCTGTGGAATTCATTATCTGCATAGTTTCCTGCCAATTCACAAACAAGCTCAAGAATAACAATGGCTCCAACCTAGAAAGGCTTGGGATCCTTGAAGAAAAAATAAAGTATTTTTCTTATTCTCACTTAAGAGAGAAGGTAAAACTCTTCTGATATCTGCTCTAAAACTAGGGAACCAGAAAAATTTGGGGGTGGGATGGTAAGGAAGAAACCACCAATGAGTTAACTTGCCCTGCCAAGGTAATTCATTTCTCATGAAGTCCTTGAAATAGAACTTTTCTGATCATCCTTGGGAATATTTAAGCTGAAAAACATCCTGAAGGAAGATTTAGCTTTTACAGAACATTTTTTAATAATTCAAGTCTGCTTGTGTCTTGAAGGAATACTAAAGTTTGCCACATTCAAACAAATGCTTGCTAAAGCTAGGCATGTCTATGAAGGCATACTCTTCTCACCATGTAATAAATAACTGAATGGAATGTGGAACAAATGACCCATGATAATATTAAGTTGAGTTCTTCTTGTCTGACTTGTATTTATGTAAAGAAAACGTGAGCAGTTGTTAGATATCATCAATTCCTCTTTGAAACAAAATGTCCTACATTAATCCTCTTAGGTTTTCAGTTGAAATTTAAAAGAATAATAATGTGAACTAGTTAAAAAAAAAGTTACCACTTACAATTTGTCTGTGAGAATGGATTTTTTTTTCTATATTATGGGATCAAAATCAAATACAGAAGCAAATGAAGATAAGGACTACTATTGTCATTCATTCCCTCAACTTAAAATTTTATCTATCAAAACAGCGTAATTATAAAAAGCAAATATTGTCATTTTAAACTTGGAAAATAAATGTTTTTATCCCTGTAACCAACACAAGAAAACAAAATCTTACAGAAGTAAATGCTATATTTAAACTTATCACATAATTTACCGTATTCATTCAAATAACACATGCAAGTCTGTTTCTGACAAAGGTTTAGAGACCAAAAACATAACAAAATCTCTTAATGTTTTATAGTATAAATAAACCCCAAGAGAAAAACAATTTTAAAAAAGAAAATTATATAATTAAGAACAAAAATTAGGGGTGGGGGTGGGGCTGGGGCGCAGCGGTAGAGTGCTTGTCTAGCACATGTGAGGCCCTGGGTTCGATCCTCAGCACCACATAAAAATAAATAAATAAAATAAAGGTATTTAAAAAAATTATATGATGTGAAAATTCGTATTAAAAGATCTAATTTATGGGCTGGGGTTATAGCTCAGTGGTAGAGTGCTTGCCTTGCACACATGAGGCACTGGATTTGATCCTCAGCACCATAAAAAATAAATAAAGATATTGTGTCCATCTACAACTAAAAAAAAAAAAAAAAGATGATCTTATTTCCTAACCTGGTGCGGTAGTGCACACCTGTAATTCCAGCTACTTGAAAGGCCAAGGCAGGAGGATTGCAAGTTGGAGACCAGCCTATGCAACTTAGGAAGACCATGTCTCAAAACAAAAAATAAAAAGGGCCCGCAATGTAGCTCAGTAGCAGAGCACTTGCCTAGCATGCATGAGGCCCTGGGTTCAATCCCTAGAACTGCCAAAAACAAACAAACAAAAAAAATTAGTCTTAGTTTTCATGTCAGGGAAGAGCTAAAACATAGTCCTTTATTCCATATTTTGCAAATACCACATTGATTGTACAAGACTTGACCAATTCTTGAGGGGAAGGAGTGAAATCTGATAAATAAGGCCTCTGAAAAATCTGCCAAAAACTTCTCAATAATTCTGTGCTTCTCATGGCATCTGAACCTCATTAGAACCTCTGAACTTTTAAGTCTCACTCAATACTTTCCCATTAGCTGGGCACGGTGGCTCATGCCTGTAATCCCGGTGGTTTGAGAGGTTGAGGAGGCTGAGGAGGGCAGATGGTGAGTTCAAGGCCAGCCTCAGCAACTTAGCAAGGCCCTAAGCAATTCAGTGAGACCCTGTTTCTAAGTAAAATATTTTTTTTTTTTTGATTTTTTATTCTCCTGGTTTTTTATTTTTTTTATTTTTTAAATTTTTATTGTGGGTTGTTCAAAACATTACAAATTTCTTGACATATCATATTCCACACTTTGATTCAAGTGGGTTATGAACTCCCACCTTCACCCCATACACAGATTGCAGAATCACATCAGTTACACATCCATTGATTTACAAATTGCCATACTAGTGTCTGTTGTGCTCCGCTGCCTCTAAGTAAAATATTTTAAAAATGGCTGGAGATATTGCTCAGTGGTTAAGCAACCCTGTGTTTAATCCCTCCCCGCCCCCCCCCCCCAAAATACTTTCTCATCCAGCTTACAAGGGTGAAGGGAATTAGCACAATCACAATCATTTTCCATCTGCTTCCAGACAGACATTCCTAAAATTCTGGCAATGATTTTATAGTTCTTTGGCCCTGCCTCTTCTATATTTTTCACTTCAAATAAAATAATTTCTCCCTTGTAAATAATATAACCAGTATTCTTTTATTAAATACATGAATAAGAGAACATGTAATCCATTCCCTTCTATTAGCCAAAGAGATGCTTCAAAAATTGTTGAGGGCCACAGCCGGTCAGCCTGGCATTTGCCAGAGGGAATGTTTGAAAGGTGAACACTGAGATGATGATTTGAGTTAAGCTATATATAATTGCTATGATGCTGGATTGATTCTATTGTATATTTGACCTTTACTGTCGGGCAATGGGGCAGCTCTTGCTGCCTAGGGGGCCCGCTACTTTGGAGTTCTCGCAGGGATTCCCGGAGAGTTCCCATTGGTTGGGGAAGTGCCGGAGTAGGGATTTCCTGTGTGGGGGTTTTCTGGAACGGCTGCGTGGGTGGCGTTGGCGGAAAAGCGCGCGAGCAGGGCTGGTGAGAGTTGAAATAAAGTAGTTGCTGTTTAAACCTACAAGGCTTTGTGGCGGCTTGGTTATTCGTGCCCAGCCAGACTGCGGCAAAAAATGTCTACAAAAACCTGAACACGGGCTGGGGATAGAGCTCAGTTGGTAGAGCATTTGCCTCGCATGTACAAAGCCCTGGATTCAATCCCTTGCACCACCAAAAAAATAAAAACGAAAACCGAACAGGGTAATGGAAAATTGTGGTATATGAAATTCTGATTCAAGCAACCATAGGGATGAACCTTAAAATCATTATGTTAAGCAAAGAAACCAGAAACAAGAGCATATTCACAAGGGAACTGGGGCTGTGGCTCAGTGGCAGAACAGTTTACCTAGCATGCTAGAAGTCTAGGTTCAATCCCCAGCTTTGGAAGAAAAACTAAAGGGGAGCGGGGAAGAACACACACACTAAATGAAATGATATTATTTATATGAAGTCCTAGAACTGATAAATTAATGGTGAAAGAAATGGAAAGTCTAGTTGAGGGTGCTGGTGACTTATTAAGAGGAGGAATAAAGGTTCCTTCTGGGTTGACAAATGTTTTATAGCTTAATAAAGGGTTTAAGTTACTCAGGCATATGCAATCACAAAAACTCTCCCAACTGGACCCTTAAGATCTGCCTATTTTACTATATATAAACTATACCTTAATTTAGAAATGAACTATAAAAATATATTTTCTGTCATCACCTGCTTAAAACCTAATGGAATCCCATAATAGAGTAATTCACATTCCTCAGTATGACCTGTAAGACCCTACATGAACTGGGCTCTGGCTCCCTCTCCATTCTTGATCTTTAAGATCTCACATGTTGGTTCTTTCTGTTCTTCAAATACAGTTCAATTTTTCATTACAACTTTTGGGCTTATAGTTCTTTTTTCCGGGAATGCTTTTCCTCTAGATTAACTTTATCAGATCCCAACTCAAACATTTACTTTGTCAGAGAAGGATTCCCTGACCACCCTATCCAATGGAGCTCTTCCCACATACTCCCTCCAAAGTTCCTAGAAATAGTCAATAAGTTTGCTGAATAAATGAATGAAGGGTTAACATATTTGCCAAGTACAAATACCCACAGGGAACATAACTAGCTTGCACTAGGTTTCATCATTCCTTTCACAATACTTGCAAATCTATTTTTTAATATTTTTA